TGCGAGAGATTCGCGAAGATACCTGAATGCGATGACAAATCGAGCTTTAAATTTCAAGATGACAGCAGTCCGAAGTTGTTTACCCTGTGCGATGAAAATGATTTCATAAGAAATCTTTTCAAAAACGCTGCTGAGTTGCTTGGATCGCGGCTCAAGAGCAGAATCTTACTTTTGCCGGAAGTGTCTCTCCTGGTTTAGATATCAAAGTTAGCGAAAAGAACGTCCCGCATGAAACTTAGGTACTTCCTCATTATGTTCTTTCATTACCGCTTTACATAAAGCTGAGATTAATGGAGTGTTTGGTAAAGTCACTTCCAGGTCTCTTGGAGGTAATGTTGAAAAAAGATGTTTTAGTTGGTCCAGATATTCGACGGTTTATGGCTAATCCACAGTTAATCACAACCATTATGGAAAATAACAAAGACCTTAAGTACAAACAAATTGTCAATGAAATATTAAACCATTTCATTGTTTAGGTTGCCCAATGAGTTTAAAAGTAAATTTTCTTCATTCCCACCTCGACTACTTTCCAGAAAATCTTGGAGATGTGGGTGAAGAGCAAGATGGACGATTTCATCAATACATTCAGGATATGCTTCCTTGCAAAATAATTTTTGTTTCACAATTATAAATAAATTTCTTTAGTCATTTATCTTTTATTTTAAGATGATAATTTGTTTAACAAAGATAACTGGTACGACAAATTGAAAGTAATTTTCGGACTTAGCACTCTCAAAAACATAGGAATTATGCAAAAAAATCAATACAGCTTTAAAATTTTTTTTTCACAGAGTTGTATAATAATTTTATTTTATTAGATTAGCACGTCATGTTAATAGATGGTGAGATGAAAATATGAGGATCAAAGTTAATCATAAATAATTAAATATCTACATCTCCTATATTCATTATTTTTGTGGAATCTGATAGATGGCAAAATCAGAATTAAAGCCGATAAAGAATTGTATTAGGGATCATGAATTGTGCTTGTTGTTGTTGTGGTGATTATCTAGACCTTGATTTGGTGGCAAGGCGCAATATTGATTATATTTGGTATATCGGTTCCGATTTTTGAGTTGGAGTTAAGCCTGCTACAATATCCACATCGTGAACTTTGATAGTTGATTGGAGTTCGAATTAAAATTTATTTCGGTTTTAGTGCAACGAAATTCTATTTATTAGGTATATTTAAATATACTTCAGCAATAAACCAAGATACTCGGGATGTGAGAAATTTCGTTTGTATTGGTTTCGATTGGCAGTTAATACACTTCAGAAAATGTTAGTTTAATGCGAACATGCGTAACGCATGCGTATGTATTGTCTCGGCATATTCTATGATAAATATGTTCAAAGATATTTGAACAGAAGGGAACAATTCATACTCTTGATAATTGCGAGTATCAAAGGCAGGAAGTAATGTCAGCTGTTGGTGAAACTTTGTATGAAAAGTTACGCTAATGAATACCATAATCTTTAATCGACGAAACAGAAAATGCAATTTGCAATCATATTTGATATCTTGGGTCGGCGTTAGAATACCATCCCACGATTTCAGGGTTAAGATAAAGAGTATGGTCGGATAGAGGAGATTCTCCAGATCACGAATATATATAATTATGGTCGCCGGAAACTCTGGTCGGTCCCACACCGGGGTGTTCATAATTCAATCGCGTCAAACTTCTTTCCGCACCAAAAAAAAAGTAATGAAAGTATATCACTCTCTTTAAACTTCATTTTCTATAACGGATTATAACGGATATTGTTACAACTAAACAAGGTACCGTTTCTTTTTTGACTGTTTTGTCATTATTTTCATATTCAAATTAAATTGGTAAATATTGTGCATATAATTGGTTTTTTATTTATTTTGATTGCTTTCATTCGTTTGGATATGGCAACACTTATTATCTGTAAACATGGAACCCATTTGTAATTGTGCATATAACGAAAATTGTGTAAAAATAAAATGCTTATTTAAAGCAAATATTTGAATAAATAATAAAAAATAAATATGTAGAAACATTGCAGTGAAGTGTTAGTGAAAGAAAAGTTAACCATAAATCGAGAAACTTTAAAATAAAATTTGTGAAATTTTCAAATTAAAACGCAAATATCTCGAAAACTATAAGTTTCCGGTGGATATATTCGTGATCTGGAGAATCTCTTCTATCCAACCATACCCCTCTTAACCCTGAAATCGTGGGATGGTATACTAAAGTTTCCCCGAACATCTACTGTAGGTCATATATTCCGTTTCATTATTAAATTTTTCTTTATGTTCCAGATATTTATATGAAAATCAATCTGATTTACATAACTCATGATATATGTACATCCTATTAGTAGTGAGGAATTGGGAATATTTACAATTGTGATAATTGTGCCTAAACGCTCAATTCTCATAAATTGATAGTTAGTAAATGATTATACCCTGTACGAGTATATTAAAGCCCCTATTACTGTTTTCAACTCAACTGTATTTTTATTGGAGTTTAAAAATTGGGTATTACCGATATTAACTCAATCCGTCAAAAAAAGTTTCGGTGGAAGTCTTGTCAAACTTCAACTTTTATGTGGTTATACGGATTTCAACTCTGTGCCAGGGGGGTTGACTAGAATATCAAAAAATTACAACTGCTTCCAATCAATTCTAGTTGAACATTATTGCGTTTATTTACGAATAATATAATTGAAAAACAGGTAATTAAACTATTTTATATATATTTTATAACTGACCCGCTCATAGCGGAATCGTTGGAAACTGCAAAGCCGATGAGATAGCAAGATGGGGCACCCGTACCTCGCTCACACCGAGTCGGATCTCCGTTGTCATCTCGCGTGCGCTTATCATTCGTTGGTCGACCACCAGATCCTGTGCGACTGCAATGTCCTTTTAGCCTAGAGTAGATCGTAAGACATCTATTGAACCTTTAGCCAAATTTAGCAGCAATCGTAGAAGTTCTAACTGGATTCATGCTGCAAAATTAAAAATCTATTCAGACGCAAATTGTCAGAGTTGTATGACAAACTTTTTATAACAGTTCTAAGTACCACAACGGACCGGCGTAATAAGCTGTCCAAGTGAGATCCCCTTTTATGATCGACCATTTAACCTAACTGAACCTAACCTAACTGACCAGGAAAATGTTTTGCCATATACTTAATTTTTAGGAAATATTTTTAAAAATAACTGACAATATGTGTTTGTGGGATGTAGTTATAATTGAAAGAGAAGAATGAGGATGAAATACCTATAAATCGATAATAGTTCATATTTTTACTACTAATTATTTCAATTGGGAAAAAACAAAGATCATTGCAGTGGAGTGTACATTATTTTTTCTCAGTCCGTCTTTAGGGAATATAAACAAAGTGGATGGTGTGACCAAGCGAGAACATGCAAAATAAAGTTGTCCATGGGAAAAGCATGTTATACCCAATTCTAAGCCTCCAACAGACAACGTGTGTCCTTGTGAGTTATTCATCGCCATTGCAAGGATGACATGATACGAGACTCTCATTTTCTCTAATTTTTCTGTCATTCTCTTTTCCTGATTATGAAGATTAGGGAATTTTAAACAGCTGATATCAAAAAAGGCGGTATGCCAGAAATAAACCCGCTAAAAATATCTATCAAAAGCAGTGCGAAACGAAATTTCAAGGAACGACACAAATAATATTGAATAACGTGCAACTAAAGTTTTTTTTTCTAATTTAATTGAAAACGTTTATCATAAAACCATGATATTTTATTATGTACTAGCTTTTACCCGCGGCTTCGATCGCATTGAATCCATCAAATAAGTATTAGAGATCTTTATAGTATAAACGGATCAATAGAAAGAATATATTTTATTGCTTTGCTGGGGTTATCTACTTGAAAAATATACTACATGCAATAAAGTTTCAAATTTGGAAATATACAATACTTTACTACTTTATTTTTATAAACTATATTATACGTTTTTCCGTTGGGTGCAAATACTTGTATGTGTAAATTCCGGGCATTAGACTCACGCCAACAGGCTACATATAGTTGACCATGAGAAAAGCATAACTTTGCTAAATGCACTACTGTTACCTGTAATGTCTGTTCTTGTGCTTTGTTTATAGTTAACGCAAAGCTAAGCTTGATGGAAAACTGAACTCTTTTAAGGTCAGTGGGAATAATTGGAATCCGAGGTATGAACACACTTTTTCCTTTACCGACACCTGTTAAAATAGTAGTGCCAAGTATATTCTGTCAGTTCAAACGAATTTAAAAACTCCACAGGATATGAGTTACTTAATTCTGTATCCATTGATAAATATTCCATTATTTCCCCTTCCACCTCTTTTAAAATGTCATTGTTGATTTTATTAACAACTTCATTTTTTGTTGCTAATATTGCTCTTGCGCACAGTTACTGATCATTACTCAAATTTTGGGGAAAACATGAGCAACACAATATACAATATTCTCTTGAAAGTGATACATAACTTTCAGAATCAACATCAAAACAACCATCACCAATTTTCAATAACAGTTCAGCATAAAGTCCTGAATCCACATCATTATGAAGATGCACTCTCATATTCGTTTTTAGACTGAGTTCTACAACTCTCAACCGTAAGCTTGGTGATTTTAAGGAATAAAACTCCTCCATTTCTCCCATTATATCTGTACTGTCTCACAGGTCTTGCAGAGTCCGATTTAAAGCTTATATAGCCTTCTTGTGAGACATTGTACATTCATCCCACACTAAAAGCTTACATTCTGATTGGTTAAGTAGTTTTTGCGGAAAAGCGTAACAAACAAACGGACTTTCGCATTTATAATATTAGAAGGGATTGTTTTTTTTTACAGTTTTTTTTTTATTTATATATTATTTTTTTATGTTATATGACGTTTTAAAAATTTTATGATATGAATACACTTTTTAGGGCTGTATATACGTGATATAGGTCCATTCGGGAACCGAAGACCTTAACATAACATCGAATGCCCAAAAGTTATTTTAAAATACCCTATCCATTTTCTCTCGACAGTGGCATGATTGACAAATGTTATAATGAGTTTTAACAACTCTTTCTCAAATTAAAGAGTTTCTTATCATGTCATCCATGGCCATATCGAATGTCAATCTAATTGAAAATTGAGTGCATTTAAATTCAAGTGGCACATCTGTAAGAATCATAGGGATTCGTGGCAGCAATACACTCTCGCCTCGGAACTTGCGATTCAAAGTGGTGACTGTTCAAGATTTCAGTTCATTAGAATGCAGTCCTGCGCATAATTAGTAAAGACACAAATCAATACCAGTCAGCTGATTGCTGAATGCTGAATGATCAGCATAATGGTTTCCTCCTTTAAGCATTGTATTTATAGACTAGTAGTTTCACCCTAGCATAAGAAATGTAAATGTAAATTTAACATATGGAAACTATATATAAGTATTTACATATGTATCAAGTGGCGTGATGCAGCATCCCGTTAACTAAACGTATATTTAAGGAGGAATTCAATAAATTAGAGAACTATTTCCTGATAGGCTGGTTTACGATCAAGACGACCTCTTTTGCTTACATCAATTAATATAAATTTTGTACAATGGCTTCGCTAATGTTTTCAGGCTAACAGGCCTCCCGACGCGTGGTGCATCTTTGACATCGAAATTACCAGAACGGAACCTAGCAAACCACTTTTTTGCTACACGTTCGTATACTATCGTGGTCATAAACTAAATTAATTTTTTCAGCCGCTTTGGCTGCTTTTTCGCCTTGATCGAAGAAAAATTGTAAAATATAGCGAATTTTCTCTTTGCTGGTGTCCATCTTTGACGAGCGCTCACAACGTACTGAGTAAATCAATCGAAAAACTGTCAAAGACAAACTTTTAGCGCGAATAAACACGTTATAGTATGACATGATGCGACACGAAACACTAGTACTATGGACAATAACGCCATCTCTTAGATAAAAACCGAACGAAACTTTTACTTGACCAATATCTTTCAATATGCTATCTTATCCAATGCCTCCATCTGAGTTATTTCGAATGTTTCAGTTTTGTCGATTCAGTAATAACACCTAACAACATAAAAAGAAACGGTGACAAAAATGAGTCATTGCAGTGTTCAGCAGCAGAAGTAGAACCGAAGCAGAGAATGCTCTCAGCAGAAGCAGCAGTAAGCAGTAATCGCGCAACAACAAAGCTGCAGGCAATAGCAAGCATGCAGGTAGCAGCAAACGCATGGACAATAAAGAAAAAAATAAGCAAAGGTGTAGTGTACATAATTAAAAAGGAGCAACCCTCCAAATTGGTATTGACCGCTACGTAAACATTAAAAGGATAAAATGTCCTATTAAAAAACAGCTGACAACTCAAAAAATTTCAAGCTGGCATTCCAAACGTATCATAAATAAGGATGAAACTCTAAATGGCAACAGCTTTATTGAGTAACGAACCTAACGATGAACTACCTGGGTACCACCACAGTCATTAATACCAATACATATGCAAATTTTCAAAAAATTAACCTAGTTACAGAGATCAAAAGAAATCAGTTGGTCCATCTGGTGGCAGCCCGACGACTTGGGAATTCTATAGGAAAATAAATTGTATTCTCGGCAGCTATAAAAGCTTTAATTTGGAAACAGGTTAGTGAAACAAAACAGAAATTTGTATTTAGTTTGTATTTATTTTTATTAATTAATTTATTACAGTAAAGTTTTAGAAGATTATGAGTCATCGTTTAATAGATCTTCGATTATTGGATTAATTTTCCAAGCAGAATTACCGCTTCCAAAGGATGCAGACGAGGAACCTGCAAAAAGAAAGAAAAAAATGTATCAGTGAACATTCAAAATGAGTTTTTTGGGGAAATAACCGGCGGCAAATAGGAGAATAGCGACAGAAATTGAAGCAACTAAAGAGGATGGCAGGCGCTTTCGAAATTTGTTTGCACTTGCAACTATTTCGTGTTTATGTTGTCATTAATTTCATTTCAAATACTGTGCAAGATGCATTTTACATTTTATTATTGTCATTGCGTTTTTAATATCGATGTCAATGCCTTTCCCTATCCTTCTAAACATTGCTTTCAGATGGCCAAATGCGTTCTCCACAACACTTCGAGATTTAGATAAGTGGTAATTGAAAATATTCTCGTGATCCTTAGTGCCTGGATTATAGGGATAGGGCTTCATTAAAAACGGAGTAAAGCGAAATTCTGAGTCCCAAGAACTACAATGGGAACATTAGTGTCACAAAATTTTTTTTGCATTCTCTTTAAGCAGAGGGTTTTTGCAAAATTCTTTTCAAGTCGGATTTTTCGAATATTTGAGAATCATTACAACGACCAGGCGCTCCAACATTAATGTATATGAACCTGCTATTTTTCATTTATGAAATGCTATTTTTCAAAACATTTATGTTGTTAACTTACCTGTAGTCTACGAAGACTAGTTAAACCATTGAGTGCCAACCCTTGTAGTTGAAATAGTCAACAGCATCAGATGCGGAGGGCCTAATCTCAATTCGGCATCCATCTGAAATGAATTGTATTTGCATGTTATGGGTAAATATTTGAAATTCACAAATTTACCTACTGCGCCCAGACATTGTGGAAATCCAATTTTTTAAAATCCGTCAACGCACTTCGTCACTTTTTTTCTTGCGCGAGAAACGAGCTAGTTTAATATTTAGACGAGAGTATGTTCCACACCCCTCGGCAAAAGTCTTTAAGAAAAAGACAAACAGACGCTTTGGAAACCGCGAAAAGTCTTCCAACTGTTCTGTATTCAGCAGAAGAACCAAGGGCGTACAAAACGATAGCTATTCTTTTTTCTAAAGGAATACATTGCCTGTATGTAGTATTATGTTTTTTTTAGCTAAATACACAAACTTGTGAATGATTTACGACTCATTCTGAAGCTTTCCTTGAAAAATTGGTCACTATTGCAAGCAATTGTCGAGCTCCCAAAAATTACCGTACCTTTCCTATAATACAACATCAAGCGGATAACTTGTTGTGGGAATTTAATAAAAAGTGATATAATTGCTTACGTGCTTCCACAAACGTTTTGGTCTATTCTTATTTAATACAAAATGCAATAACGCAAAATGCAATAACGCATAATATGTTTTTGAATCTGAGTTGTCGTCTTTTCCGTATTTCATTCAACTTCTTATTTCTGGCAGCAATCTGCACAATTAAGTATATAATCACCTTCTTTTTTTCTTCCATGTTGCTAAAATGTATTATTATTATAATTTTTTTTTAAAGAACTTTTTTGATTTTCGGAACAGATTTGCCAAAATTGCAAAATCGAAATGTGTATGTAGACTTTTTTCCTTGATCGTACATTCACTTATATTCGGCCCTATTACCGTTGTCCAACTTGTTGCCGTTGTTAACGTCGTTTATTTTCTAAATTCGTATTCTTCAAGTATATCGTAACACAAAGAAAACATATCGAAATTTAAAATTATGAAAGTATGATATCGCACAATAGCGCCATGGTATCTTTATTTGAAAATGACCCAAATATTTTCACGCAACATTATTCTAATAATTTGAAAAAAATTTCCACTATAAACTAATAACTTAAGTTTATTTCACGAATTAACATAAGTGTTTATTTTGTTACAATTTACATGCTGTTCTATGCTTCTACTTCTCAACTCAAAAGAATTGCGTCACGCGATGGCGGCATAGGGCAATTTGTTTTTGTAACAATTGCCATATCCTAAACCTAAAAAAGTAACGGTAAATTATTGTCGTTATCTTGTATTCTATCAAATTTTGTGTGTATTTTAATATTTGACAGATGCTGCCTGTAGCTTGTCATCGTCTACATATTCGTTTGAGGTATTATAGTAAGTTTTTCAATACAGTTAACATATCATACGCATAAAGACGAAAACGTTGTAGCCGGTAAACTTCAAAATTATTTATATAAATTTCTGTAGATCTGTATTAAGAGCAAATAAATATGATATGTTTAATTTTGTGGTTTATTTATCTTAAATTCAAGTTTGTAACAAAATTATGTTAAAAATTTAAAATTAATACAATATTTTTGTCTACGTTAAATACAACAGAGTTATGTTATCATCATCATCATATTGGCCAAAAGACGGCCACTGCTGTACATATTAGCTGGTTATACAGTTAATTAATTTAAAGCTTTCTTTTTTTGCGGTGCGTCAATATATAAAGATGATAGTTTTCCGAACACGCAACGTATAATTCTACATGCGCGAAACAGGGAAACTTCAAGTTGATTCTGTAAACTTTCAACGACTGGCCTGCGATTTATTGATGCTTATTGTAAAAGCCAGGCTTACGGAAAATGGTAAACGCTTAAAGTCGTTGGAATCATCGGTATACGTGGAATTTTGTATTTCCCCTTGATGATCTTGGCTTCAATGACGATATTCATTAGCTTCTTCACAGCCAGTCTCGTTCCATTGCAAAGTCGAGGTTGATTTATGCTACGCAGAATGAAGACAAATGATCCTACTTCTAATTAAAAATTTTGTGGTGGTAGTCCAGGCAATTCCAATAAATTTAAAAATGTTTGTAGCTGTGTCAAATAATTTGTAAGTAAAGTGCTCTCCGTGAGCGAAATTCTGAATTGTGGCATTGAGATCATCGACATTTTTGTTTTTTGCCGGCAATATTCACTTAGCCTATTAAGGCTATTATATTGTTGTTTTTTGTCCGGAAAATACGTTAGATAAACTCCTTTTTCGAGTCTGTGAAGCGAAAGAAATCTAAGGGAAATATTATTAATATGATGGAGGTATCAATTGCAATCTTAACATTTCCAATATCTAGCAGCTGCTTCGAAATCACAATCGCAGTTTGATCTTTTTGCAAAAACACTCATATGTTAGTCGCCAATTTGAGTTTCTTTACGTGCCGTCACAAATTAGATTATGTTTGGCACGCGTTTAGTTCGCCAGTAATAGTTTATCGAGGAATAACTGGAAGAGTCTGGTGAAAATCACCTGACAATAGAATCACGACCCCACCAAAATTGTTTTGGAAGTCACGTAAATGTTTTAAAGTCCTGTCCAGTGACTCCACCGATCTCTTGTGGGATATTGTGCATTCGTCCCAAACTATCAATTTGCATATCTGGAGATTTTCCCCCCATTTTGGAATCATAAAAACCAAACGAATTAGCTGATTTTGATATTATGAATTATAATATTTTAGACAAATAATTGGTTTCGGGCTATCGGCACAACCTCATGTAATTGAACCAAGATTCCAATCAATTACAATCATCAAAATATTTCAATGCAATGCCAAAATGTCTTAACAACATTGACAATCTTCAAAATATTATTATCATATTTTTTCAAATTTATATTGTCAACTCAAGTAAAATTTTCGTATCCTTATCTTCTTCGCATTTTTTCCATATAATCTTACTTTTTAAACCTTCTTGGACCACGATAAACATTTCAAACCCAAAATCAGCTATATCGGTCCAGCTTTTATCTAGTTTTAGCGAGACAAATGAACAGCAATTGGATGAAGAAATAAATATGTCGTTTTTAGTATTTTGATTATAAACTATTTGAATCATTTATTTTGTACAAATTAAAGAAAGGTGGAACAGTTGTTGAGCTCGTTGAGAAAAATTCCGAAACTGGACGAGACAACGATACAATCTGCTATTCCTAGGAATATATTGTTTGAGTAGATTTTAGTTTTTGAAGCATTTTGCTCCTCTTTCGTCCTTTGCGTTTAACCCAATGCGCGTGTTCATTGCGTATTTAAAACCTTCCTTAACAACCATAGTTATCTTAGTTTTCGTTTTAGAAATTTCTTCTGTTTAATTATTTGTCAAATCTTCAGTTTTAAGGTTGGCAACACCAATAAAACTTCGACTAAAATTGTTGAAGTTTGTAATACCAAAAAGGAGTTGGGTTGACCTGAAGTTGAATTGCTTCAACTTCAATTTAACGGAATGAAGTTAAAAACCTTAATAGGGGTATAAATGCGGCATCCGCATACTCTCTTCTACCGAATTAAATTCAATAACTTTTTTGTTGCTTTTCCCTGTAAAGTCCCTGTCCTTAACAAAAAAGCAGCGCACAAGGCTAGCAAGCAGACGAATGGAAAATCGATATCGCAAAGGCATCAGCACTGCTAATCGAATGACACATCTTGTTGAGATGTGCGGAAATAGGAAGTGGGAAGACTTTGCCGTGCATGTTCTATATCCTGTAACGGAAGTTTTCCAGTAGATTCAACCGTGCGAAATGATTGACATAAAACAATATCGGCAAGAAAATCGTTTCGAATTCTGTTTCAGATAAGACAAGTTAAAGGAACTGTGTGGAATTCGTCAAACTTTTTTTAATAATGCTTATAGTTTGAGCTTGCATTCGAGTTGAGTCGATTTAGCCACGTCCGTCTGTATGTACGCGAACTAGTTCCTCAATTTTAGAGATATTTATTTAAAATTTTGCACACGTCCATTCTCCGCAAGAAGCTGCTCATTTGTCACCACAAAATATATGGCTGTCACACAAATCGATAGAATTACAGTCCTTTTACGGAAACTTTTTTTACTAGACAAGATATCTTCACGAAATTTGACATGGATTATTGTCAAAGGCCCTGGTACAATTTCGGATTAAAATCTAATTTTTGTATAAAACTCTTTTATTTATTGACTTAAACGATGAGCATTAATGAAATGCCGTTTCTCTCCTACAATTTAGATTTTTTGCATTTTTACTTTTGGGATTGCTTTTACTGACCGTTGCATTTTTTCATTTTCATATTGAGCGATTAAGCCACTGGTGCGAGTGAGACATTTAATGTAATATACAATACTATTGTTAGTACCTGCATCAGCGACTCTAGTGGCTACACACTTTCGCGCACATCACCCATTTATATAGGTTTTCACAGCAGCACTATCACCAATAATGGTAGCAACATCAACAACTTTGTTGTCCAAACATACTAGTAATAGTCAGTAGAGGTGCAAAAGCGGTTTTGGGTTTGCTATCAACTTGTTGAACATCAGCACAGTAATACAAGTTATACACGAAGTCGCTGACATATACTTAATCAGTTGATGAACTTACATTCAGCTTGTACGGTTGCGCGTCTGGACTCTGCACATATTTATGTCTTTAACGAACGAATCCAAAAAAATAAAACTGCCAACAAAAAAATTGCGTTAAAAGATGTTGCAAAGCAATTTATCAACTTCTAAATTTTTGCAAATTTAATACTCGATTGTTTAGAATTTCCATATAAAAGTAAATTTGAATTAAAAATTATTAATGTGCAAAAAACAAATTAAAAATTATAACTAAAGTATAAGCTAGAAAAACAGTGTTCCTATAAAGTAGTGGTGAAGAAAACTGGCCAAGTATGTACACTTACATATATACAAGCATATATAAATACCTCCAACATAAATTTACATTATGTATGCTAGGACATAAAGAATTATGATATATATATGTATGCATGTACCTATTTATACATATGCAAATGATTTGCTAATAGAAATAACTGCCACAAGATTGGTAACTTGCAAATAATTTTTTTAACTATTCAAACTAACCAGCTTTGACCAACTTAACATAACTCTCTCAACTAAATGTCTAAAATCAAATTCAAGGTATACAACAGCATTCCAAGAAATATTTAGATACAGTAAAACTTCCATAAGTGGAATATCTTCTCTTACTTTACTTTTGCTTTTTTTTAACTTCGTCCCTGTGTAACATATTTCATCACCGAATTATCGCATCATATTTGTTGATACGCTTTCTTTTATCGTATTCAATTTAATAGGACGAAGTCAAGGTACATAGAGTTTAGCTTAATTTGTGGGATATGTGTAATAAATTGAACATTTATTAATTAAAAAAATTGTTTACGTAGCATACGCTAGTAATCTAGGAATATCCACCGCACGTGTTGTAAATGTATAAAAAATTAATACATGATGAACTTTTAACAATTTTTTTATTCCATATAATAAAAAAGATAATGAAAAGTTATCTCTCTATCACTCCCTATCAATTAAGCGTTTTGCAAATGTGTATATTGTACAACTATTAGCTCAATCGTAGCAGAATAGGTAAATATATCAGCTAGTAAGTTTTTTATGACCTGTTATCCTATTCCATAAAGTTAACCTTTGAGTTTTTGATTAAGATATAAACAATACTCTCACGGATGTGTACACTTTGAATTTTGGATATTGAGTCGTATATCTCTTAATTTCTTAGCATTACATACAGAATACACCTACAAGTATGTTAAAAATATACATAAAATAAGTACGAGCTATACAAGTTCGACTGTATTTAGTGAGAAATTAATATGTACATATATCCGGTTTCAAAGTGAACATTAAAGTATACTGACGTGAAAGCTTTAAAGCTATTAATTTTTTTAATACATGAAAAAGATACACACCTGGATATAAATAAACAGCAGATATTGGTATAAGAGAATTTTATTTACCGAAATACCGGTGAATTATTGACCACCGATCTCTGTTACGGCGGGCGCCATATACATATATTTAATTTTAATCCATATAATTAGTAATGGTATAAGCTTGCACTTTAAATACACGTATATGTCTGCATAGTGAACATAACTCCTCACACCTCATTGATATCCATCAAACACGCATTTAGCGTAAAAATATAACATATAACTAACATTCTTTTTTCTGGCTTAAAATCTAAGTTTGTATCAAAAATATTTCGTAATAAAATTTCATGTCGAATATAATTATTGCTTTATATCTTCCAAGCTCCTTTTTTGTTTTTTAAATTCTTTTTTCTTAATCCCCTCTAATCGTGACCAAATCTTACCTGCGACGTCGTCAATTATTGGAAATCTGCTTTAAATACATTTATTTTTTTAAAGTAGAGTATTTTCAAGTCAATACAAAACGTTTAATACACAAAAATTTGTATAATCCAAGTACATTTCTCATTTCAGGCGCAAAAGGCCTTGATACAACCAGCATTAACAACGAAAGCAGTACGTTATCTTAATTGAGTGATATGCTGTATCCGCGTTGTAGATGTGGATCATTGCAGATTCGGACGCTTTTTTCGCTGCATAAGCCGAAGTTATATAACCATGAATTGTCTCATTTCCCCGGCAAAATATGTTCATCGTTATCGAAAGCACAAACTCGAAGCATACGCAGTACCAAAACACTATCAGCACGAAGTATGCTATTGTTTGTTATAGGCATAGTGCTGTCGGTGCCACCAACATTGACACAAACAGCTGCAATAGGTAAGCGCATTTTATAATACAAGTAAGTCCGGTGAAATCGACCATTGATACATTTTTACAAATGTAAGGAGTGGGAAATATCGAGTGATAGACTATTGTCTTATGAACGAAGTAATTTAATTTTTTTAGTGCAATTTAAACACAGTTTTAATTTAATCTTTCTGCAATCTCTCGATTTGCATCGACCAATGACTTTATTTTATCCACATAGGCTTCAAGAGGCCTTCCAAGACGTGATGCATTTTCAAGATCGAAATTGGCGGAACAAAATTTTTCAAACCGATTTCGGCACTGGCGTTCGGTCAACACTCTTCTCCGTACACATTACGTAATTTCGCCTTGCTTGAACTGAACTTTTACATATTTGATAGTAAAACAGTAAAATATGCACGCCGATCTTCCATCTTCGATAGGGCGTCAAACAAAAACTATTAAAAAATTTAAGAAAATTTGTTTACAAACAATCCATACTATATCAGCTGTTCAAATATATAACGGTAAAGCGGTTTAGTGTGAAGTTGGCTGCGAAAAAATTCAATAAGATCAGCTGTTGTTATAAATTTTTGGTTCCAATTGATCCAACCGTATCGTTGCCCTTAACTTAACTGGAAGAAAATATGAATATGAAAACTGGTTTCAACCATTTTTGTACCGAAGCGCGTGAAAATTAAAATATATTAGGTGTAGTCAGAAACATAAAAAAAGGTTAATGTAAAAATTTTTTTTTTTGCCAGTAAATTATTTGATTTTACAAAAGTAAAAACATATCATCATTGAATAAGGTTTGACTTGACTTGACAGAAATTTAAAAAAAAAATCTAATAATTTTAAAAGTAATGACTGTTTGTGTTGATCCAGTTCCAATCGAAGCTTCTTGCGGTAACCATGACTATTACTTGGAGATTCATTTAAAATCAAGTGGACAAACCAAATTGTTTTATTAATAGATAACCTAGTGCCATGCAATTCTAGAGCGGTCGAGAACCCTTTGTTAGTTATTGAGTACTCAAAAAGAATTTGTCGGATTTACTTAATATTTTCAGAGGATATTTCTAAATATATATTTCCAACTCAAGAAAAGTCGATCAAAACAAATGCTCACAAAAAAAGCTTTCAATACAAATACTTCATTATTATCGGTCAGCTGGTATAGCCCTTAACAATTTCTTCGGAGATTGTACCGTTGTCTTGGGCAATAATTCATGCAAAACTTCTTGAAGATATCATGCCAAATAAAAAAGTATGCTATACAAGGACTTTATTATGATCGTTCAGTTTATATGGCAGCTATATGCTATAGTGGTATGATGTCGACGGTTCCGACAAATGAGCAGCTTCTTGGGGAGAAAGGGACGTGTGCAAATTTTCAGGACGAGATCTCCAAAACTGAGGGACTAGTGTGCGTATATACAGACTGATAGACAGACTAAATGGCTAAATCGACTCAGCTCGTTATGCTGATCAGTTATATAATATATACATATCTTATTGTTTCCTTCAGGATGATTTTATACCGAAAGATAACTATTTTAATATAATTATTCGGTGAGTACTATATTGCCCCTCTGGTTTGACTTTATCTTAAGAGATACGCGTATGCAAATAATTGAGGTGACAATATTTCGCTTGATTTCATGTAATTTGATAGTTTAAATGTAGCAAATCAATTCAAACATCTTCCTATATACTAAATATATAAGATTTTAAAAATAATAAGTACTTTTGTTTTTAACTTTACTAACTCTTGTTATTGGTCCTAAATTTTTCGACTTTCGTGTATAGGAAGTATAGTCTCATATTTATCTCACATACAATAAACACGTCGCTACTGACGTCGTTATTAATACGTTACTCACTTATATAGATACATTCTCGTATGTATTTAAGTATTTGCATAGACTTTTTTTAAATGACAGATACCTAAGAATAGAATTTTATCTAAAATATTTTAATCTAAGTATACATATCGGAGTATTACACTCATATGTATGTATGTATGTACTTCTATAAATTTCTTTTGACGCCTTAAACACGTCTACCATTATGTGCATAACTGGTTTATCGAAATTTTAGTGAATATACATATGTACCATATGTATGAATAAATTAATATAATTTTCTCAGCAAAGGTGACATATCTATATATATAAAAATGAAACCCGTTTCCCGTTGTCACGCCATAACTTGAGAACGGCTAGACCGATTTGGCTGGTTTTTTTTGCAGTTTTTTCATACTCTGTAGAAGGTTCTAACCGAATAAATATAAAAATATTAAAAAAATGTCTCAGAAAGATTGAAAAAATACATATATTTTGCATATTTTAAAAAACGCGCGTAACGAAATGTTACGCGTTTGTTCGGAAATGTGGTTATTTAATTAAATTCTATCGCCTTTTCAGCTATGGTGGGATCAGGGAAATAGAGATTCATTTTTATATGGAGGGTATTATAGATTCCAGTTTAAATTGAATAGGTATTCATACCTAAGATAGGACAACTGTCAGCTATACAAAATAAAGTAGTGCAGTATGGCGGTACGAAGTTCACCGGGTCAGCTAGTTGTAAATCAAATGCTTATGAAGCAGTTCCTTACACCATATTTGCTTCGTTCGAACTGAATCAATTAACTATAAGTATTTTGCGTCTATTTTAAGTGCTTAACACATAGAAGACCGCAAGCGACAGGCAGCATCTGTCAAAAATTAAAATGCATAGGATCTTATGGGCACAGTTATTTAGAGAGCAGCACGACTTTACGGCATCAGGCTTGCAGTTGTCGCTGTTGGTAAATTAAAACCAGTTTTAACTTTGCCGATGACAATGAGCAGCTGTAGTGTTGCCACTAATATGTGAAATTATTCAAAGCTCTAACAATTCTAATATTATTTTACCAACAGAAAAATAAAATAGCTCTAATATATCATTTGTAATCGACCTAATTACTTAATTTTTTCAACAAAAAATTTAAATTTCATTGAAATGAAAGGTTTTAGTACGGCAGCAACGAAATTGTGTACATAAGTTGTTTGGTATGTCGCTGTCGTCTTCAAAATGTACAAGAAGCTGTCTTCAAGACGACATGTGCCGACCAGAAAATTTCGCTGTCGTGCAGTCGTGTCGTGCCGTCGTCGTTGCGTTCAAAGCATTATTATACTATATCGTTATAAATATATATATTTCTTGTGTGCGTGTGTATGTCACTGAACTCCTCATAGACGGCTAGACCGATTTTGATGTGAGTTCAAGGGGATTCGAGGATGGTTTAGATTCACAATTTGGTCTACTGGAAAATGTTTATTTAACTAATTTTTCATTTATAAGTAGTTGTTAATTTTGGAATATTTTACATAGAATTCCGGCAGACTGGGCTGTTGCCGTGACAGATAATCAAAAGTATATTTGAGCCTGGAAGATGGCGCTGAGATCAGATTCTAAGATAGCATAAGTATAGTTAAGCTATTAAGAGTATGGTGTATAGTGTCTAAACATTCATACTTTTATGCTACTCTATACGGAAATAGTGAATATACAAAACTAAGAAATATGTAAATAAATTGTTTATATTTCTTGCTCTTCCGCGAAGACGTGACATTTTTTTAGAAATAAAATACTATGAAAAATACACAAGGACCAATGAGAATTAGTCATAAGGAAAATCATGGGCAACATTTTTGAAGCCACTATTTTGAGTGAAAAATTTCAAGGTGAAGTTTTACTTCTGCCACGGATTCCAATGATTTCTTCAGAATCGCCGATTCCATTTAAACGTTTACAATTTCCCATCCGCTTGGCATTTGCGATGACTATTAATAAGGCACAAGGTCAAACAATAACGATTTGTGGACTAGATTTAGAAAATCCGTGCTTTTCTCACGGCCAATTATACGTTGCGTGCTCGAGAGTAGGAAAACCATCGAATTGATTTGTTTATACCTCTCAAGGATTAACCAAAAATATTGTACATCCTATGGCATTACAATAACTTCATTTTTTGTAGATAATTAACTCTAAGAATAAATACCCGTTATCGAATAGATTCAACGTTTTCACAATCAATTAAAACTACTTAAAGTTGGTGGTCGGATTGTGATAAATATATATATATGACGTTAGATATTGTAATAAACTTCTAATAAAAATTTTCACCAAAACGGTCTAATTGTTACAGCTAATTTCAAAAAGTTTACATTTAAGACGTGGGACAGGACAACGTCTGTCGAGCTTCTAGTATATGTATATATATAGATAGGCTTGTACATATATTGCAACAATTTTAAAATATCTTTCAGAACAAATACATATATAATATCTAAGTGTTTCGTTTATATAATGTTTTTCTGAAACTCCATGAAATACTTCTGACTCGGTGAATATGGAAATGTTTTGATGCAACTCTTCACACCATTCATAACCTCTCTTATTGTATATAAGGTATGGATGTGAATGTGTATAGTATTCATATACCATATGTATTTCTGCTCGTATACTTAAGACGAAACGATTTACCAAAATGAAAAATGACTCCACTTTTTTCAATGGAGGTGACCAAAAATTTTAGACCCGTAGCCACACGATAACAACATCAATTAGAATTAATAACACTCCAAAAATTATTAAGAACTAAAAAACGGCAGTTATATGCACAAATTGTACAAAATTTTCTTTAAATATTTTATGAAATCTTGTTCGGTTATCACACTTAACCGCTGATATAGTAAGGCTTGTTTGTGCAACATTTTCTTAAATTTTTATACTCTCGCAACCTGTTGCTACAGAGTATAATAGTTTTGTTCACCTAACGGTTGTTTGTATCACCTAAAACTAATCGAGTTAGATATAGGGTTATATATATATAAATGATTAGGATAAAGAGACGAGTTGAAATCCGGATGACTGTCTGTCCGTCCGTCCGTCCGTGAAAGCTCTAACTTGAGTAAAAATTGAGATATCTTTATGAAACTTGGTAGACATGTACCGTGAGACGGTTGGTATTGCAGATGGGCTAATCGGACCACTGCCACGCTATTAATCAAAAACAAATAAATTGCCATAACTAAGCTCCGCAAAAAGATAAAAGACTGTTATTTGGTACACAGGATCACAATAGAGAGGGGCATCTGCAGTTAAATTTTTTTTTTAAAGTGGGCGTGCTCCCCCCCCTTATAAGTTTAATGTACATATCTCCTAAACCGCTAATGCTATAATAACCAAATTCACTGGAAGCTATAATAACCAAATTCACTGGATCTGTTTACCCGATTTCAACCAAATTCGGTGCATAACGTTATTTTCATATTTCTATGTTATAGTGCGAAAATGGGCGAAATCGGATTACAACCACGCCAATTTCGCATGTAACACCATTTTCAATTCCATTTGATTCTTTCACTTTCCACTATGCATATCAAGCAATAAATACTATATCGGGGTAAAACTTTGCGTGAATAATACGTTTGAAGTATGCCACCTTGTGACCAAAAATTGTCTAAATCGAGTCAAAAATGTTCAAGCCCCTAGGTAATGAATATGTGGACCCCAGTGCCTATAGCTGACTTTTTTCCGAAAATATCGGTCAACATAGAACAAGTCGGCAAGTAGTATACCATTTGACTTTGCAAGAGTATAAAATGTTCGGTTACATGGAAGCCGATGTGGATACATTTGCCTAACGCGACCGTCCACCAGCACATGAAACGTCTATGATTAATTTTGAAGCTTGAAATATGAGTTCCTCATGTTCTTATAGAACGAAATTTGCTTCGTCGAAGTGATCCATTTTTGAAGCGCATTGTTACTGGCGACGCATTGTTACAGGCCAGAATGTTAGCCTAATAGATCATGGTCTAAAAAGGATGAACCAGCTCAAACCACTTCGAAATTCGATAGTCTTAAAAAAAAGGTTACGTTGTCCGTTTGGTGGGATTTCAAAGATATTGTTTATTTTTAGCTTTTGCCCGACAAGGATGAAAAATTGTATGAACGTGGAATCAATCTCTTGCCCGAAAGATGTCGAAACGTATTGAATCAAAATGGAGAATATATAATTTCATAAAATGTTTTACACACTAAGAGAAAACGAAATTACTTAATGAACGACCCAATGCAATACCGTAACCAATCAGATCTCATGATCTTTTAGAAATTTGAAACTATCATTCTACAAAATGAACAGGTAGTATTAAAATTGGTATAATTGGACCCCAGTAGCGGTAAGCACAGAAAACCAATACAACAATATTACCATCTGCAGATGTAAATAACATCTAGTAACATGTATTTGTAAATAACATCGGTAGTAAATTGTCCAAATTAGTTTCACATAGGAATCACGGTCCTTAGTTACATTTTCTAGAGATATTTAGAAAGAAGATAACATTTTACTCGTACATCCATGTAGTGAGTTTGGTTGCTCATCAATCACAGTAATTGTAAAGGATGATATTTGCAATTTAAAATTATATATTTTTTAATCATATTTACTAGATATTTTTTGATATATAAAAGCGTTACTCTCCAGCGAATCGAACACACTATACAAGATGCTTAAACAAACTGGCAGCACTTGTCGTGCACCCAACGCTAACATGTCTTCGGACGCATGCACAACAGTGTTATGATTATTTCTTAGTGGTTTATTTTTATTTTCTACAAATTATTATAATTAATTTTAGCTCTTAAGCTTTGAAAATACAAGAATAAAAAAAGAATTTGTATTCTCATTTGCCATTTGAGCCATTCACAATAGTAGAACTGATCTACAATATGCAAAACAAAACTTGGTGGCATTGAAGATAGCAGTTATTACACATTAATGAGGTATGCGCAATACTCTCTTGTACGAATTCAACTTGATGACTTTGTTGTTTCTTTTACATGCAATTTTTTTTAAAAGAGAGCAGAAGCGAGCAAAGAAATGGCGAATCGAAGACAGTTAATATAACTTTACCGCCACTAACAGTTTTCAAAATTTTTGTATATTTGCTGCCGGTAGGTTTGGATGTGCATTATGAATTGATCATGTCAAAACTAAAGTTTGTGGGCTAGTTGCTTCCGTATGTGCATGAATCCATCTCAATCACGTTTTTCAGTTGTTTACATATAGGACAAGATTATTTACACAAAAAATACCGATGGGTAGCGAAGGAGCCCTATGGACATATGCATATATGGTCCGATTTGGATCCTATGTGAGATATTATGGGCAATAAGAAGATAAACATACTTGCAAAAAGTTGTCGTACCAGATGGCGTCAGAATCGATTTAAAAAAATCACACACATTTATAAGTAATATAATGGCTAAAAAGAAATTTCAGAAATTCATATCTCAATTTTATCAGTATTTATTGTTCGATTTTATTGATATCATAAATAAAATTTATTTAAAATGGATAAATTAAATTATGATATTTAATGTATGATTATAATCCAACTATTTTTAATTATTTTATATTAATTGTTTACTTAGGATGAACTAGTTATCAAAATTAAAATTATGTACATATGAGTAAAAGAATCTAACCTGAACGGTAATTTATTCTGATAACTTATCGATATCAGATAACCGAAGATATGTAGATATTCAAAATCATTTATTTAAAATATGCAGACTAATCATATTGCAATGCACCTGTCCACGTCATTTAAAAGCAGACATAGTTCATCAACTTCTGATACACTTGTGGTGGAGAAATGTGTCGATCTTTAATTTCATTAGCTATTCTTGACACGACGCTTTTAAATAACACGTTAAGATAATGGAGTAGTTTTATGTATAATTATGTACTTTCAGCATTTACAAAACTTGTTTATCCAACAATAGATTTTATGTTCTTAACCCATTGACATAATTCTGCTTTAAACGCGCAACGAATAATCTGCAACAATGGAGAGAAGTCAGACGAATGTATGCATATTTATGTATAAATGTATAAATGCATATATATTAGGGTGCTCCATTTTTATGTTATATTTATTCTTTGCGCTATCTAAAAATCTCATAGTTCATAAAAAATATAAATTTATACCGACGGGTAAAGGTTTTTAGTGCAGCTTAGCTGTAAAAGCTACAGTTTCTCCCCGTTAATCTCCCTGACTAACAGCTTTTGTGCTATAGAGAAGATTAATGTTAATTATATAATATTTGACATAAAATATTTTTTTAAATCAAAACTTATTCTTTTTACAATAAATAATAATTTATTATAGACATTAAGAAACGATTAATTTTGTGTTTCAGAAACCACTCAAAAATTTTGTGTACAAATATCAATATTAGTTAGCAAATACTGAAAATATCTGGGAGTGTAATTTATTATACTCTCGCAACATGTTGCTAAAGAGTATTATAGTTTTGTTTGAATAACCTAAATCTAATTGAGATAGATATATGGCTATATACAAGGTGCGTTGCAAAGTAAACAGTAAAAAAGTAACAAAGTAAACTCTAGTGGCGCCATCTATATGTCGACTAGTGCGTTAGAATCTGCTATCCTTTATCGACTTCCAGTATTTCATGACATTTCATCTATTGGAAGTGAAGGTATTGCGTTTTAAGTGTCAGTATGTTTTTGTCATCGGTGCGAAAATGAGCTTCGAACAAAGAGCCAACATTAAATTTTGTTTTAAAATTGGTAAAACTTTTACCGAAACGTTTCAATTGATGAAACAAGTTTATGGCGATGATTGCCTATCCCGTAGCAGAGGGCACGAGTGGTTTCAACGTTTTCAAAGTGGTCGTGAGAACATAAATGAGAAATGAGCCGAAACCCAAAAAATCGCGCCTGGAGAAGTCAAAAGTGAAGACAATGCTGATTTGTTTTTATGATTCCAAGGGTAGTGTCCACAAAGAATTTGTTCCACCCGGCCAAAACGTTAATGCGGTATTCTACCTTGAAGTTTTGAAGCGTTTGGTGCGCCGTATTCGACGTGTTCGGCTCGAATATCGCGAAGATGGAAGTTGGCTTTTTGTTGCACGATAATGCGCCGTCTCATCGATCGACACTTGTGGCCGATTATTTGACCGAAAATCACATTTTAAGAATCAACCACTCCCCCTTTTCGGAAAAATGCATTTGCCGATGAAAGGAAAGCGTTATGCAGACGTGGAGGCCATTCAAAAGGCTTGCACTGGCATACTGGCGGTCATATCGGGCAACGAGCTAAAACACTCGTTCGACATGCTTTTGGACCATGCAAAAAGCTGTATTAAAGCAGAAGGAGACTATTTTGAATAAAATTAATTGATTTTGAACATAAAACCATTTGTTCTGTCTTTTTTTAAAAGTCCTATTGACTTTGAAACGCACCTTGTATATGTATGTATATAAATGATCACGATGATAAAGCGAGTTGCAATCCGGGGAACATCTGTCCGTCCCTCCGTCTGTGCAAGCTGTAACTTGAGTAAAAACGTATCTCACAATAAATATTAACTTATATCTTGATGAAACTTTGTACACATGTTTTTTGGGGTCCATGAGAAGTTTGGACTCTTATTTGGTACGACGACTTGCATTAGGGAGGGGCATCTGCACTTTTAAATGTTGAAAAACTGGTTGTGGCCCCTCATCTAATAGGTTAAATATACATATCTTTCATTATGCCATAGTAAAAAGTTCTTAAAGTACCGCGATAATGATAACTATTTATTAATTTGTTTTGCAGATGAACTGTATATTCAACCAACATCAGCCGTTCATGTGGTAAAAGAAGGTAAGTGTTATGAATTAAGTAAGAGATTCATTAAATCTGTACATATTTTATTTCAAGTACATAGAAACATATAAAATATTAGTATGTGTATTGTATATATACATGTAAACTATATAATTTACTTATCTGAATGCATAACAAAAAAATGTTTGGTACTACGTAAATTAAAGAACAACACATAGAAAAAAATATATTATGTAATATAATATAATAGTTGGGGGCGCTGAAAAATTCCTTAGAATTTTTACTTGTAGTTGCATAAGTCTATTGAATATCGTTTCAGGGCTGTAAAAGATAATTGCTCTGTTGTACAATCGATTGGTCTAGCTTTACACATAAGGGTGGCTTGTGATGTCTAGTTTAACTATTAAAGGTTTCTCTTAATCCCAATCCTCTCCATCATTACCTGAGATACCGTAAGGAAGTTGATGGATATGTTTTAATTAGCATAACCTAACATATATTGTATATATTCATTCCCATCATTTTATGGTATATATGTAGGTATACCAGTTAATTTTTTTTTGTCTAATATGAACTAATGTTTTACTTAATTGAACAACTGTTATACCTTAAGATTTTAAGTTTCGCAATAGTTCAGGGAAATCGGGCCATAACTTTTCAAACCTATAAATACCGAATATGTGTACCCCAGTGCCAATGGCTGACGGAATTCGGGTAGAATATTTTTATTTTACCTAATATAAGGATTTTCAAGCATCTGCTTGACTTTATACCATTTGAATATATGTAGTATATCGGCCAATTATAATACAACTCAGCAGCGGTTAATCTTTGAAATATAGTACTGGAATTCAGAGAGAATCTTTTCCTGGTAATATAAAAAATTTCGACATTCCGATTGACTTTATACCATATACGAGTATATTCAGAAAGCGTCTTTCTATGATAATTGCCTATCTTTGTGTGGAAAATGGTTATAAATGCATCAATACTTCTCTTCGCCCCGGTATACCCAATATAGTGATTTCCGACTTTCCAGTTGACTTTAAATAGTTTATTTAGGTCAATATGAGCAATATTTTAATGAAATAAAGTTTTTGTACCCATTCAATTAAGTTTTTACTTTTCTCTCATATATCTAATATTTTGAATTTCGTCCCTTTGGTTGAGTTTATATCTCAGTTAAATTATGCATGAATATATTAATTAGCATTAGTTATGGCATTCTTACGAAAAAAAGTGCTGCCAATACCTGAAAATACGCTCTCGGTTTTGATGTTTTAAAACGTATAGAATATAAAAGGTTCGGTTACACTACATCTTAGCCTTCCTTAATTGTTATATTTGGGCCTTTGACTATATTTACGTTCAACTTGAACGTTTAATAAGAAAAATATGTACAAATATTATTCAAAGGATGGGCAATACCATCTAAAGCTATAACATTTTCCCATTTTTTTGATATTTATGGACTCGATCCTAAAAGAACTGCGCAGGCTTGGCATATAAGAATGAATTAAACCAATTTTTGATACCACGTTGTGATCCGAACCGTATTCCAGTGAGGGCGTTCTGCATCGACCGGAACAAATAGTAGTCAAAAGCCGCAAGCTTTGGCCGATAAGGCTGGTGAGGAAAAACTTTCCAGCCGCTGCTTTCCAAATAGTTTTTAACCGGTTTTGCAACATTAGGCCGAGCGTTATGATGGAAACTTATATCCTGCACCCCGTGCATTTTTCGCAACCGCTATCTTAAATATGATGGGATGTTGTCGGTAGCGTTCTCCATTAATAGTTTCACCCGGTTTTAGAAGCTCATAATAAAGCATGTAGCTCTGATCCCTCCAAGAACTGAGCATTACCTTGGCGTCATGAATATTCACCTTTGCCGTTGATTTGGCTGGTTGGTTGACCAGGTTTCACATATTTTTTTAAGTATTCAAGCAGCAATTCATATCTCACTCACAGTTTCCTTGCTTTTGAGCGTTTTGAACGGACTGCTTGAGTGACTCCCAAATAATCTACTAGCTTTTCTTGTGTTTGGCAACAATCTACATCGAGTAATGCTTCCAGTTTATCATTTTAAATTTTTTTTGGCCGCCCAGGACGTTCCTCGTCTTTCAAGCCAAATATCCTCTTTTAAGTCGTGAAAACCACTTTTGATAAGTTCGCTCAGCTAGAGCATGTTCAGCAATAACTTCCGCCAAAAGACAGTGACTTTCGGCTGAGGTTTTCTTCATATTAAATGAGTAATGAGTAAACTCCCCGTAAAAAACACTTTGAGTTCGAGATATTTGAGTGAAAAAAATTACTGCTTTTAATGGTTCAAATGAATGACGTATACTGAAAAAGACGCAGAAGGATAGTAGCAAATCGCACAAATAGTTACACCCAATTATATTATGACACATGAATGTATTTATTATGTACCATGTTATAGACGTAAAGGGCCTTTTAACACATCTGCACAAAGAGTAATTTATTTACATAAATATTTGTAGTAAAATCACTGTATATCATTTATTTTATGTTTCTATTTGAGGATAGAGATAAACAGTTTTACATTTATGGTTACCAGAAATAATGGGAACTTACAAAATTTTAGCCCACTTATTTATTATAGAGTGAATTCGTCAGATAAATGCAGAAATGATTTCCATGTTCTCTATTTTTATTCTCTCACTCCTGAAGTAGCATGCTGCAATGTGGGAATTCTATCATTTCTTCATATTTTCGAAAGAGATTAAGTGCCGGTACAAATTTATTGAATAACTTTTAACGTATTTAATGAAACTGTATATAAATGCATTTAGATAAAATACATTACTTACTTACTTATTAACATAAACTGTAAATTAATTTGTATTTATATATTTCTTTCTCTTTCTTTTTCTCTATCTCTTGAAATGGATTTGTTTGGCATTGCTTACGTCATTTACATGCACCAATCTATCACTACCTTTATTTAAATTATTCCACCTTCAATTTGAAATTACCTACAATAACAACTCCAACCACTTGTTGCGGCTATATATCTGTGTGGTGCGAAACTGAATAATGCTGTAAAAATATTGTATGTATATACCTTATGTAATAATCAATTTACATATAAATGAATATATATATTTATTTCTAAATATAAATTTTAAATATTTAACTACTGCAAAATTGTTGCTAAATACTATACGACCCACTACTATTATTATCAATTTCAATTTCTAAAAACGTTCAATCTGCCGTTCTCGTGTCTATTCGTCAACCTTAATATGCTTTTTAAATACTAAAATGTCAATCGAACAGACCTGACGACGGTTGTATTAGTTAATAACGCGAATAATCGGCGCAGTGACTATATAGGGTACCATCACAATGTTCGCCCTGAAGTTGGTTTATTAACTTCCACTGCACGCACCTTCATACAAGAAGGTGTAACAACGGAATACGCCACACAAGTGGTCGGCACAACACTCGATAGTGGACGGTTATATGCACAATTCTTAAGGAAAAGTTCACGAGTATTATATAACAATGGCCACAAACAACAACAGACACAGCAAGCAGTTGTATTACCAACAGTTGTCACCAGTTGGGTGGGCGATAATTTGGAACTGCATACCAAAGCGCTATTAGAGAGTCATAACGACCTCTTCAATGCTGACTTACCCGATTGGCAAGATATTGATGATCGTTTACTTCATGAAGATGGAAATATATTTGTTGGCAATACCGATTTTGCTAATTTGAGTGAAACAAGAAATAAAAAACAACAAGAGCCTTCATTTAACGATGAGAAAAAATTTAAAAACCCAACATTGTTATCTAAAAATTTAACGAGCGTTGCTCGTAACACTACGCCAAAACATCTATTGTCATTGCATACAGTAGGCAATACAGGAAATCAAAAATCACAAATTGCGCGAATATTAGACGTTAATAAAGTAATGCCCATCGGCGACTTGGCGACATACACTATTCGTAATCCCTTTTCACCAAGTGGATTCCCTACAGAAACCATTATCGAACATTTAGAACTCACACAAAACAGCGCAGTGAATAATTATAAAAACAATGCAAACAAATTAAACCGTTCACCGAAACAGTACTATCAACAACTAATGGATCCTATAGGTAGTGGTAGTTTCCTGAGAAATGCCCCAATAAGGCCACTCTTTAATAGGAAATTGGCAACAACAACGTATTATGGCTTTGCTGACTTTACGACTGTTGTTGGGGAGAGTGTGATTGTTTTTTCACCTAGCACCGTTACACCAAACAGTAATTTAGGCCATGTGACATCAATTAAGGGTGAAGCAACGTTAGGAGATTTTAGCGATTATGTACAAGGAACAACTATTGGTGCTATAAAGGTCGCTACGGAATCTGAAGTTGAGACCACTCAACAAATTAGCAATTTGCCCAATTTGAGCACAATGCAAATAATGGATGTAAATGCGAACATAGAACAAAGCGTAAACTTCATTGATATTACTAGAGAAATTCCAAGAAAAGAGAAGTTGGGAAGCTTGCAAACATTAACAACTGCTATTAGCGATGAAGAACTATCTTTAACACAAATAAAATTAGTGGCCACATCTAATGAAAATAGCAAAGTCACACATTTTACAACCAAGTTATCAAGTGATGACACTTTTAGAACTAATGCGAATACACTCGGTTCTACCACATATTCCCGTCCTTCAGACGAAGAAGTGGCAGAACTATACGCGTCACTTTCGCGTGTAGCGGCATCACGTGAAAGTATTACATTAACAATGCAAATAGTCGCACCAACACATGTAATAGATAATTCCTTATTAAAACAAATTGAAAGTACTAACGAACAAACAATTAATAATACAGTTCACTTAGTTTCAAAAGGTATAGAGTTATTGCAAAGCAGTGAAGTAATGCATCACACAACTACAGCTATTTTCAAAATAACTCCCACAAATGCTAGCTCGCAATTACAGATATTAGGTGGTGCAACAACAATATTCTATGAAGATGATCCTTTTGCTAATTTTGTTGAGCCAGTTGTTAGCTCAACCGTAGCTACAGATATGTTTAATTTGACAGATAAGAAGAGAACAACACAACCAGAATATGCAATGTCAACCTTAAGTAATATACAAACAACCACCGAGGAATACGAAGATAGCGTCGAAACAACTACAGTTGATCCCAATATATTGGCAAATATTACTATAGATGAATATGAAGTAGAAAATAATAGTCGTAGTTCTATTGATACATCTCACAACGTTCAAAATGAACCAAAAATTTGGCTAACTGATGTTAAAATAAATGTTCAGGAAATCAATATCGACGATGACATTGTTGAATTAGGAGATTGCATTAGAACTTCACAGACTTTTCTCACACAGATAGCAAAAACGATCACCCAGCTAAACACTTTGCGCGAGTCAACCCTGTCAGGCGAAGATGAAGCCATACAATTTTCTACAATCGAAACTGTATTACTGCCCACCTTCGACATTTTAGAAACTACTAAATTTTATTGTATCAAACCACAGACAGCAGAAGTAGTAGGCGCGACCAGTTTTGCCATTGGCAATATTAACGAAAGAGCAAACGATGAAGTACAGTTAGAGAAACCACGATTAGATTATATTGATACCGCAACACTGACCGAGAACATAGATGGTGTAGGTGATAGTGTTGCCGACGTTGACACTGATGACACTGATGACATTACCACAGTATCAGTTTATATAAATGAGGAAGCAATTTTAGAGTATACAACAACTGATCCTCTAGATAGCGATTATAATAATAATAATGAAACTGAGGTCAATAATGAGAGTGATAGCGATATAAATTTTGATCAATCAATTTATGCGGGGGAAGTTGATTCGGGTGAAGAGATTGAACTGATATATAAAACATTATATACGACATATACGTATTTGACAACATTCTTTAACGATGACAGCAGTACTAGTATAACGAGTCACACAGAAGTTTTTACGAATATTATAACATCGACCTTAGAGTCCGGTATTGATGAAATCGAACTAGTTGCTACTACAAAACAAATATTAAATACAGATTCTGCAGAGAATGCGCTTACACTTAGTGCCCATGATTCTTCGAGCAATGGTAATAAGATTAGCAGCAGTAGTAAATTTATACTACCTACTGAATTGGAGACTATACTGCGTGTTGGTGAGCATGATATAGATATTGATAAAACCGGAGATGCTACAGATGCACAGACCGCAACCATGTTTTTGGATGATAGTAAAATAGTGAAAACTTACTTTACAACTTATACATACTATACGACCATATTTGTAGAAGGAGAAACGGAAATCATGTCTAGGACCGAGGTATATACAAATTATGTAACGGACGCGGTAACACCCACCACTACATTTGAGATTGAGAAACAAAGTAGTACTAATAATGATAACGTTTCTAGTAATGTGGAGTTGTTGTCAAGATTAAATCAAAATACCGACCCTAACAATATCGATAATGACGCTATACGGCAAAGAAATGAGAATGCACAAAATATGCTAAATGACCATCAAAGGTTCAGTGACAGCACACTGCTTGCCAACGCCACGATCCTTTCCCATGATGATCAGCTTGATTTCAGTAATTATACATTGGTGACTGATATACGTTCAAGCAGTTCGATTGGCAAAAAACATATTATCAATCAAAAGCAGGAAGCATTTTTCGATCAAATTAGCTCCGAAAGCAATACGGACGAAATAAGACCTTCAGCCGTTCTATTATTGCAGACAAGCTTCACCACATTTACGTATTATACGACAATGTATAGCAATAATGCGACAAACGTTATAAGTCGCCTGGAAACGGTAACCGATGTCGTAACGGAAACGCTACAGCCGACTAAAACTTCAAGTGTTGATGAAGTAACTTTACCCATAACATATTTCACTACATTCACATACTGGACGAAACTGGCTAAAAATGGTGAAATCACTACACTTAGCAGAGAGGAGACCGTATCCAATATAGTAACACCTAGCACAATATTACCAACACTCATTCAAACAGCAGATGTACTGTCAAGCAACGAGAATATCTTACAGAGCACACAAACAAAGACAGAAATATCGATTTCCGATCAGATGGATAACATTACAAGTGTGAATACCACCACTGTTATCCGTAATAGCGTTGAAAACTCAAACATCGATAACGCAAACACCACAGCGGTTTTTGAGCCAACAACTTACTATACAACGTACACATATTATACAACATCATATAATGGTGATGGAACCACAACTGACTCGCGTTTCGAAACTATAACAAATGTTGTTTCAACAACAAACATTGAAGATAAAACAAATGGATTAGTCGCGGATGCAAGTAATATTGTGGGCAGTGCTAATTTAGTGGCTGATGTATTAACGTTAGCTGTAAACAGTGGTGTTACGCCCGCACTTGAAAAAACCCCCAATATACTGCTTTATGACTACAAAAGAATTATCGATGCAGATGGAGTAAGTACATTGTATTATTTAACGGAAATATTAGCTACCACCGCCATGGATGGTATGCAATCAAATTTCACTAGCAGCACGTCCAGTTTACAAGTTGATGAATTGAAGAAAGCCCTGCTTCCAAACAGTATAATTGCAGCAAATACAGATATCAGTTCGGTACGTCTGTACAAAACGGGTCTTGTGCGTTTAATCGAGGGTACCCGCATTGGCAACCATACAACTACATTATATCAATCTAAAGTTATTGGCACTTTCATTGAGAATCGCTACGCTCAAATAATTGAGAGTACATCCAGTTTTATTTTTGAGACAAATAATAATCTGATCACTACTGATGCGTCTATTAAACCGTCTCTTACATTACAATCAACAGATCATATCGAAGCAACAGTTGCACTAACGTTACAAAACAGCATTGTTGACAATGCTTCTGATTCACCTGCGACCAACGAGTATAGTAAAGAGGATGAAGAGAATTTCGATGGTGACGGTGACGGTGGTAATGAAGATGATGTTGAGGACGATGATGCTGACGGTAACAGTAATAAAGAGCGATTGTTCTATCAGTCGAAGAAGCACACATTTACACCCGTAATCCGCCCATTCGCTTCACGTAATCGTCCACAATTCGCGCCGAAAAAGAAAAACAGTATTTTGAGTAGTGCGACAATTATAACACGACATGATTTCACACCAACAATAACTGCGACGCCTGCGCTTAAGTCTAGCGGGCGTTTTAGCACACGTAAAGGTGGATTTACAGGCAGTGCAACAGCCACAGGTGCCTCAGCTACTATACCTAACAGTTCAACATCGCGCCGCACCTTCGGGCGCCCAATCAAATCATTATCTTCCATTGGCAGTATTGGTTCATCAAATATACCCGTTATTTTGTCTGCAAGTGGTTTTAGTGGGGGCCGAAACCGTCTGACATCATCGACACGATTACAATCATCGACACGTCGTGCCGGAGTTTTAGTGCGGCCTACATCTGTGTCAGGCATTCGGTCAAGCTTTTCTAGCACTTATGCCAATAGCTCTCGAGTACGTATCAAATCTACAAGTTTAGCTCAGGCTGGACAGCAAAATACGCCATCTACAGAGGGTTTACCTATTTTGACATCCGAGACGAGTGGCGAGGAGTCAACTACACCAGAATTTCAAGCGAGTTTTGATGAAAATGACGAAGTATTTACAGACGCAGCCCGCCGGAGTCAAAATCCTTTGCTACGTCTTCGAAGGCCGTTAAATAGGCCGACTGGTTTTACTCCAGCTAGTCAGCGTGTAGTAAACAGTGGTAGTAGCATTTCCTCTGGTGGTGCTGTTTCACAACGTCGTAATCCTTTAATATTACGTGCTAAAACGACGACTGTTACAAGTACTACAACAACGACGCAAACACCACGCACGCGAAGCTTAGAGAGACCTAAAATCAACAATGCACCAGGTAGAACGCGGCCGCAAAATAGCCTTTTTCCACCACGTGGCCTATTACAGAGGCAAACAAATCAAGAACATAATGAAGTCAAAGAAAATAAAAAAGATGACAGTATAGAAGGCAATGTTGATATCGATGATGATTCCGAGTATGATGACGAGGATGAAGACGACAATGAAGATGATGTCGATGGAGATAATAACCGTCGTAGGCGTTCTAATATTAAGCAACATAAATTAACAACAGGAGTTGAAAAGCCATCAAAAATTGATAACGATAAAATAAAATATTTGACTAAATTCTCGAAATCGGTACGTGTACGTCGTGAAGCTGAAACACAGTTACAAAGGCGAAGTAGTTTTCGAAATAGATTCAGGCGTCCAAAGTTAACGTCTTCAGCTACCACTGCCGAGGATCAAAATTATAATGAAGATGTTGAACTGGAAACGCCACCTTCTGTAACTACATCGGTAACACGTTCACGAACAGGTGGGCGTTTTATACCACGCTATGGTTCTCAACACGCAGGCACACAAGCCGTTACAGCACCGGCCACTACTACAAGCACAGGAAATCACCGCGCTATCAGACCAACACGCCCCACTAATGGTAGAGCTCAATTCACACTACGTGAAAAAGATACAATCACGACAACTCAAAAGGGTTTGACACGTTCAGGAACAAGTCACTTTCGGCGTCCACAGACAGCAGCCTCATCTAGACGTTCGTCATCTCCAACAATTAGCAATCGGCGGAAATCATACAACAACAATAGCAATTTGTCACAAGACGCTGCTGCGCGAAGCACGTCTTCGCGTGTACGTACCAACTTAAGTCGCACACGTACAACCGTGCGTGGACGCAGTCGTAACGATTACAATGTTGATCCAGTCGTACTACCATATGATGGTACTATAACTATTACACATGTTATACCAGCCGAAGTAACTATACCAGTCATCAATGGTAAAGTTACTGAATATAAAAATGTTGTGACAGCTAAAACGAGCACGGAAATTTTGTCTCCTCAGCAATATACCAGTTTTCTGGGTAGTAATGGACAGACTATGTTGGCATTGACCCGAGAAGATTCAAGTGTGAATTTCGGTGGTGTAACTGAGGTTACACAGTATGTACTTCATGAGTCGCCGACGACAACCGTTATCTTTACACCCACCACAATACGTGGCCGCAAAACATCCTTTTCTCACGTAATACCATCAACAGTTTACTCAGTGGAAAATGTTATTTCAACAACGCAACCACAAATTTCTCCAAACGCGCCGTTGGCCAATATATTATTATCGCAGTTGTTGCTCGGAAATATAGGTCTACCACCAGCTAATCCATTACTTGGAGCATTAGGGGCAGCAGCAACACCAGCACCTATACAGCTAGGTGTAGGTAGTATAATACCGCAATTACCAGCCACACCGGTTACTGAATATCGCACGCATACATCTACATATGTTACAACAGTGTTTGAGGGTATGTCTACCGTCTTACCTGTTACATTTCAGGGTAAAAAGATATTGACTACGGTCTACGATACGACTGCCCAAACAATAACAGCTACAGAGTTTGTGACAGATACTATTGTAACAACACCGACACAACAAACGCAGGCAGCACCACAGGTTAATAGTTTGCTAATACAACAACTGTTATTGCAACAACAACTACAGCCACACATCGAACAGCCCCAGTTACCAGTAATACATTCCACGGCTCCGCATCAACTATTAAGTGATAATTTGCAAGAACTCGACACAAACCATATACGCCTTTCTAAGGAAAATGATAATGATATAGTAGTTAACGATGATAATACGCCAAATAATAAGACTGGCCGAAAAAAGTCCCGAAAGTCCAGTAAAGGACATAAGCGTAAACATCAACCATTCCAAGATGAAGTGCCAGAGGGTTCTAGTATCATAACATTGTATGTATCCGGCCGCCGACCGGGTGAGTTTAGTACCATTTTAAGTACCGTACCACTTGACTTTGACTCCACAATACACAAACGCCAAGCTCCTGGTGATCTACAACAAACTGTCAAAACTTATACAATCGATGATTTTTACGCATCAGATGGTAGTGAATATATGTCGGCATATCTAAAGCCTGAATTGAAGGATGATAAGACGGAGAAACAGATTGAATTAAATTTACTTGAAAGTGGTGCATACCATTTGATGGACCAGGAAACTCAATCGCTCGAGAGTATTGTCGGCGACGTTGATACATGGATTGCAAGAAGTACGCACGCATTTGATAATGCAGTAACACTTCACGTACAATTAGTGTCCACTTTGTCGCTGCAAAGCAGAGGCGTTCAAATTACGAAGAGTACTTATCTGAAGCAAAAGTCGAATGTGACCGGATATAAAACAAATAATAATCATTTTTTAATGTAATTGACCTTACTGCGTTGCTATCCCCATGCCAGTTCAAGGTCATTAATATTGTCACAGCAAGCACGAAAGCGTCGATAACTATATTTAAAAATATTAGTTTCGGAAAATATAAAGGCATTCATGCGTGTAACCAGAGAGGCAGCAGTAATGAGAACGATAAAGAGGAGGGGAATGAAACTGTAGAGAGTGGCAAAGAAAAAAGTAGGGTTAAAGAACAGCAGGAAAACGGAAATGGGCTACTCATATACTTGGGGCATAATACAGTACACAATAACACCCAGCGATATCCTACGCGAAAATATTATAAAAAAAAATTCACTTCGTTTAGTGTAAATAATAATAAGACGCATAATGGTATAATTATGAACAGGAGTAAAAGGAGCGCATCCCTTTTAAAGAATTATGGGCGTGTACTACCACAACAACACAATAACATGAACGACGATGTGTTGAAAATGTTAAACGAGTATGATAGTAGTAAAAATAATATAACTTTGAATATTGTTAATTTAAGCCGGAGATGCAAGAAGTTAGTCGTACGGCGTAGAAAACTGCCAATACCACCGTCGAGGAAAGTGGACAATCAAATTTTGCTGAAGTTATCATTGCAACCGACTACTGTACAACTACCTACTTGTGCATCACGTCGAAAAATTTTTTTAATAAAAAAGCCAAATCAATTGATAGAACCATTGATGCCCGAGAATTCGGATAAAACTGCCAGCAACATAAACAAAAGTAATCAGCAAACATATTATGTGAGTCAAGGGAGCAAGGCAAACAATTTGTATGTTACGCTGTCAAATAATTCTAATATATACTCATCGATGTGTACCAAAAATATTGTGTACAAAGATAAATTTAAAAACTTTTCCACGTCTGACAAAACCTCTAACAATCCGAGCTTTCAAAGCAATGGACGTATTGTTATAAGGTGTATAAACCGAAAGCCTCGGCACTTCGGCAATAGCGAACCAAATACCGAGAGTATTACAAAATCTATATCATTCTACAAAAAGTCGCAGAAATCTGAACAAGAAACGAACTTAGAAGAACCTGCAGCGACGAGCAGAAGTAGAAACCGACGTAAGCACAAAAAGAAGAATCGTGGACACCATCAGAGAAACCAAAGCGGAAAATCTATGAAAATAAATAATAAAAATGCTGACGAAGTAGCCGCCGAAAACCAAAAAAAAACACAGGCGCAATCATTATTTTCACCGCAATCAGATATGCTAATACCAACTGTAGTGCAAAGAATTTTAAATGAGTCTAGTGACGTTTCAACAACGCTGAGTTCAAATGAAGTAAGCGGCGGAAGCAAATTTGCCGAAAACATGTTGCAGCCAACGCCAGTACTCAGTTTCTACATTGGAAATGCCACACGAACCAACTTAGTTTATAAAATTGCTACAAGTTTTCAGTATGAAACAATTGTACGCACGCGCACATATACATATATTATTGATCGTGTTCATGATGACTACCATCATTACGTCGAATCTTCCACGTTAGTTCGGAAAGAAACGCAATATCAATCACATCAAATTCTGTTGACTCATACATTGAACCACGTATTAAAACAAAAAGTAGTTGCACCATCAACTATGCCATAGCCATCATTGGGTGATCACATAAAAATATTCAACTACATTATTTAAACTTTTTCTTAGAATGTTAAATAATTTTTTATATATATTAAAAAAATTTTGTTACCTGGGGGTCGATAAAATGGCAATAGTTTAATAGACTTTAAATTTTACATCGTGGGACCAAAGATTACCTCCAGTATGGAAGAAAATTTGAGAAGTAAACACGGTCGTCGCGCACAAAAGTAATCTTTGGATATTGATATTTCAAGGTGGATGAATATACTGAGGGGCGTAGACTCTGAAAAATCAATACTAATGGTAATATCCCGTACCGTAGCACCTCTTTATTGAAACATCGGTTGACCATGTATGTCGGATTAGCAACACCAAAGCACCTTCTTCCTTAGCAGCTACTTAGGCTTTTCCTGGATGTTTAGAGATGGTTAAGTCAATTTGAAACTTATTAAAACTATTATATCAGAGTAAGGCTCAAAATTAAACAGACCTGGTATACTCACACAAAGAAACACGCAGCCTTTTTATTGGCGTAGTATACGTCTTGCAACATAGAGCTTGTTACCTTAATTCTAGATTTTCAGATCCATTTTTTGTAAAAATAGCATATACACAATCATAACAGCATAAGCACCAAATTTAACCTTCACGTTTACACCTACCATTAAACTGTCTTTTTACATCTGTTTTTTTGGTGACTTTTCTTTCTATCGTTTTTTATAGAAATTTCATTTTCATTATAATACCATACTCCGTTTGATTACAAACAAAATATAATAATAAATTATTTAAAGTTAAATTTAAACAAATGTCGAATTCATTCACCAAAACGCATCAGCTTCAGAGAAGTATGCGTAGTGAGTTATGTTTTATAACGAAATGACATACAAACATGTAACATAATATGGCAGCGTAATGCATAAGACATTTTAACATTCATGCGTAATGAAATTGCGCTTCTAAGAGTTTGGGTGTAAGGAAACTAACTTGTAAATGAATTAGATGATGTGTCGACCTCTTCCTAATGGACACTGCACGAACATACACATTTATGTATTTAAATTTGAACACATATCAATGACAGCTATAGTGAGATTGAAATAATTGAATTACAATTTTTCTAACACAGTAACCCTATCGTAAATCGAGGAGGTTGTGGTTCGAAGGAATTGGTTTTTGCCCTACCTCACTAAATATAATTTAAAAAAATAATTTTTCTTCGATTATTTCAATATTATCATAGATTTAATTTCGTAAAAATATTCAGGTTGAAACATTTTAGTAAAGTGTCCATCAGTAATCTGAAGGGACCATGAAAGCAAGCTTGTCATTTGATTCCTTATTTTTAGTAAGGATTTTGGCCTACGGTTTCTTATCAGAAACAGAAAATAGCTGTAGAAAATTCTCAACTTTCACTACGATGTAAAAATTTGTGAGTCTTAGTTTGTATTGGAAACTATATATAAGTTGTAAAAAATGATATGTACATATGTATGTGTTATTAGCAAATGTTGTTAGACCAACATATAAGCATATGCGTCTATTAAATAACACTTTAAACTATTAAACTTCTATTAACTAATTTAATGTTGTTTTGTTATATAAAATTGTATCCATAATTTCCTTATATATTTCTGGACTCTTCTGTTTACGAAAAATATTTGAAATATAGTTATTTTAACAATAAAATACTTGAGTCCACTTTTTTATTCGAAGAAAGGGTAAGAAAAATACGTGAATTAAAACAAAATATTGACATCTTCTTAGAATCAGAAACACATTTTACCAACATGAAACATTTTGCAAAACATCCAGATGATAGCACTGCCCTTCCAGCATAATCAAATACATATATTGTAAAATTGCCACATCTAGGACAGATATTTTATTTATTTCAAGTTTGGATAGACAAGAAACTAAAAACAAATATATCTCTCAAAACTTATTTAGAAGTGGATACGGCTATGGAGGCTTTTACACACATTATTCATGAAGTAGGTATGATACGTACTGCATCAACCAAAAGTTCTACAGCGAATAATAGCTGAAGTGAGGAACCATATAAATAACAAGAGGCTTCGGAAAAATTGGCAAACGAGTCGATGTCCTGCAGATAAACCAAGGTACAATACCATCTTTCCAACCAAACTTAAAAAGCGCTTGTACGAAATAAGAAATAAAGCAACTGCAGAGTTTTTAAAAGTTTGGACTATGAATACAGCCTTTGGAGAGCTACAAAATATTTAAAACGATGTACACTGCGAAATGCTGGTATACGAAATTATAACGGAGAATGAAAACTGCTAAAACTAAGCCATAAAAAGTCACCAGGCTATGATAAAATTGACAAATGAGTTACAAAAATGTTCTCTTAAAAGTGTATTAATTTTTTATCACTAATTTAGCATGCAATTTTGAGGTTGGACCACTTTCCTACACAATGGAAATGTGCGGAGGTTATAATGAATCCAAAACCAATCAAACCTGAAAATATTCTCTCGTCTTACCGTTCTGTTTGCTTGCTGGTGACATTTTCCAAAGAATTCGAAAGGGTACGTATGAGTAAATTGTTACCGGGATGAATACAATATAATACCGGAACATAAGTTTAGGTTTGGGAGAAGTCATGGACTTCCAGAGCAGAGCCATTGTATAGGGGATACTTATATGTAATTATAAGTGGATTTGAACAGAAACTGTATCTGCGGCAATATTTGTTGACATATTACAGGCACTTAACCGAGTGTGGCATTCAGGCATGCTATATCAAATTAAAAAAAAATACTTTTCACTTAATTTTTCCTCTTATTAGTAAAGCGCTTAGACTTTTTGGCTTGTGGCTGATGACCAAATTCATAAAGATTTAAATATCATATACGTTAAAGATGAAATTCGTAAAATAAGCACCGACTATGTTGAGAGACTATGTATATGATCATATAAATGTACTGGGAATAGACAGCGATACAGCTCTTAAGACTTGTTCTGTCGTGTTAAATTTACATTTTAGAGTTAGAGTCAGAGATTAAGTATTGTATATATTGTAAATAAAGTCTTATGTATAGAATTTGGAATAATTATAATTAAAATATTATATAAATTAACTATTTCTATTGTAATATTAAATTTTCAAGTAATTTACTTAATGTCCAATTGGTAATTTAGAAATAAATAAGTTACTAAATATGTAAATAAGATAACACTCATTTTTTGTTTGCATGCCACTCTTATGTTATTGTGTAAATAAGTCGTATGTAGACAAAACTTTAATTATGATTAAAAACTAGGGTATTTGTACATTTAATATGCAATAAATGTGTAAAAATAATTTAAACGAATGTTAGTGGATATAAAAGTAAACATTATAAGAACAAAATTCATTTTCAATCGAAAAATTACATACTTTAGAATTATGAATTTTGAACTTTAAATGCAAATATCTTAAAAACCACAAGTCAGTGGCAGTTTTATATATATAAGTTCTTAATTTTGAAAACTTCCTTTTTCGGCCCATACCCATTTTAACCCCGAATTCCCCCCCGGATGCTATTCTAAATCTCAGTCCTCTACAACTTTAATTTAAAGATTCGGTTTTAAAAAATCAGTCATAAGGTGCTGTGACAAAACAATAGATTCTTCACATAATATATATAAATTGTGGTAGCATTCAATAATATTTCTAATATCTCACTAAAATTTTGTGAAGTGGCATGAGATGGTCTTTTGTCACCTTCTAACTTTTAACAGTTTTTCGTGTTTCGCGTCGTAGGTGCGACTGGGTATTTTTTTCAACACAAACTTGTTTCGTCAGCCTGCATAATTTGATCGCGAACATAACCACTTAACGTAATTGCTTCTAACAGTAGTTTTAACGACTCCATGCTGAAATCAAAACAATCACTTTAGAAACTTAAAATATAGCATTATTTAATATTTCTTGAAGTTTTACTCAGCAAGCTTTAAAATTTATATATAGCCTTAATGCTAAGCCAAAACCAAAGATTTTCCGGAATTGAGTATGTATGTAAAAAACCAAAGATTTATTATTGTATATACTGAGGTAAGTAGTTTATCCTACTGGTATGAGATAAAACAATGCGATGTGAAAATTTAGCGGTTCCAATTCACTCAAAAATACACTTGTATCGTGTTCTATATTCATAATTTTAACTTTAGTATATTTGAGTTGTTGAAGACATTTATTCATTTTAAACCGCGCTCATGACGTCAAATAAATTTCTGGTAACTCTCAGTTTGTACGTATACAAGTAAAATAAAGCTTGTTTTCAAAGTTCTTAAATTCGATCATTGGAACAATCGTTGAGCATGTTGAACTACGTGTGTTGATTTGATGAAACAGGTGTTAACTGCAACGATTAATATATATATATATATAAGTTTTTGATTTCCCTGTATTTCAGAAACCAACGTTCGATTCATATGTGTAAGTCCTTGATTTCCCTGTGTTCCAGAAACCAATATTCCTTAAATGGGTTTTATCTTTTGTATGAATAAGTTCTGTTTGTCTCAAAATGTGAACATTTCATTGTGATATGTGAACTTATTTATGCCGTTATTAACGTAAATTTATAAATAAACTAATTTCATCAAGAAGAGCGGATTTTCAGGTGTCGCCATTCTGTTGAAATATCTTTTCTACTATCCTCTACTTTTATAGTAATGTTCGGACTTCATAATTATTGTATAAACAAATTTAATAGATTTGCAAAGAGAATAAATACGAAATTACAACTATTCACCAGTAACTGCAGAAAACGGTCACAGAAGGCAAGGAAGTGTCATTAATGCTTCCACACAACGGCGAACTAGGCAGCACTCGGAGTATTCAACAAGGATTTCCAGTACTGATAGCTTTAACAGCGTGGTAAATATCAAAACATTAATCCGACGTTGTATAACTTCGCCGGTAAATCTGACAATATTTACACTATTTCTAATTAGAATGTTTTATACGTAAAATAAGGTTGCTAGCTATGCCCCAGAATTCAATGTCGACTCAGTAAACTTGATGAAACTAGACAAAGAGGAAGTAATAGATGAATTCTTAGATGAGGCCCGTTTTAATTTGGCTACGCGAGTTATGCCGAATGGTGTTGAACTTATTATTGCCAATGATAAGAGTAAGCCATCTTCTGTTAAGACGGAAACTAAAGACTCATTACAAGAACAGAAAAAGCAACATGTTCCACAGCAACTAGATAGTGTACTAAGTCAATCTTCTTTCCGTCCTATGACTTTCGCTCCAAGTACTTTAAAGAATAAAATGATACTTGTAATTCCAACGCAAAGTGCAATTCAGGTAAGTTTTTTAAGTAAGTTGTAAGTGGTGTGATTTCAATATATTTTCTTTGGTTTTAATAATAAGGGAAGGGATAGCGGGAGCTCCATACGGTTGCTAATACTTTTTTTTTTGATATTGAGGATATCAGTCGTACAATGCTATTAGACAAATGTAGTAGGTGGATAGATGACTGGATTTGATTGAGCACATACGGTAATATTCTCACCTATAACTATAACGCCCATCATGATTGAAAATTAGACAAAACTGGACTGAAATCACAAACACTTAAAACATAATGTAATTTTGAATCCCACCAAACTATACTATAGATAGCTTAGGCAACAATAAATATTATTACACACTGTAAACCTGATAGGCGACAACGGCGAGAACTAGCCGAACTTGTATACACTTATCCCATGGCTCTCGAATATTGAAATAATGATATTCGTCTATTTGGTAAATGTTCCTACATATACGTGACCCTTTACTGAAATAATGATTTCCATTCTATCGGTAAGTAAACTAAATAAATATTATACATTGTGGTTTAGTACCAATTATTGATATAGGTACATAACTTCTCTTAGACGGTATATACCAATTATATTAATTTCCCTTCGGTTGATTTAATTTGTTTAACCATCAAACTTACAAAACTTAATAAGAATATAAAATGAAAGTAATTATGGGAGTAATGTTAGAAAAAACATAAACTTCAGCTGCACCAAAGCTGTAATATCCTTCACGGAGGCATTTCTTATAGCATAAAATGGTATAACAGATCTTTATTGTTTGGGCCAATACCATTTCGTTTAGTGAAGTCAACAACCTTTGTTCACATTTAGCGACGACAACAATATTTTTTTACATTTAGCCAAGTCAATAACCATTTTTTACATCTTAAGAGGTCAATGACCCCTCTGTTTACGTTTTATGTGGTCAATGACCCTTTCGTTTACCTTTAGTCAAGTCAACAAAATTTACAATTTATGAGGTCTCTGACCCCTTTGTAAATTGTTCAGATACTATAGCATATAGTTGTCATAAAAATTTACCGATCTAAAACAAATTCCTGTATAGAAAACTTTTTTATTTGACAAGATACTTTCACAAATTTTTACAATCTCCAAACATATTGTTCATCTTTTTATTTTTGAAAAGATATCTTCACAAACTTTGGCATGGATTTTTGACAAAGGCATCAAACATATTGTTCAGATCGGACTATTATAGCATATATAGCTGCTATTTAAACTGACCGATTAAAATCAAGATACCAGATTTTATATCCTTTTATATTATAAAAAATGCACCTGTGAAGGGTATTATAGCTTCGGGGCTGTCGAAGATAACTTTCTAGTTTTTTGTTTAATTATTTACTATCTCGTCAACATGTTAACGATCTACTTTCTTAATATACTAATTCGTTCGCTACAACCAAAAATTGTTAGTATAATATAAATAGGTAATGTACAATCTAAGGTACAGACTTCATCGAAACAAAGCCGATATTTTTCATTTCCTATACTCTTCTGTCTTCCTATGCATTTTCTACAGGAAAAATTTTATTTGCCAGCTGATTTAAATCAGTTTGTGACGAAAACGTGCCTAACGACTTATACTTACCGCACAACATATCTTCAAAATGGGTCTACAACTGTCGAAAGCCGGGAACAAGTTATATCCAATATAGCTACGGAAGAGCGTAACTATTTGCAGATCACACCAGCTTTATCCTTGGGCTTAACTTTGACGCAAGTAAGTAAAAAGACTTGTTTTGTTTTAGGTTATTGGTTATGCAATCCACTCGAATAAAAATACGTTTAAGCTATTTAGCCACACTGGTAAAATCACAGCTCCTAAAGATTACACAATTGTTGGTGTTTTGAGATATTTTGTCTCTTATATTATATTATTTGTATATTGTTATTACTGCAGAAAACAATACTTTTAAGCTTAGTTGAATTGTGTTATTTTTTCAAAAGCTACGCATCAAAGTTTATACTAGCGGTAAAGGTTGTATTTATATTTGTAAGAATATTATGATATTTATTATATATATAAAATTTTTTATTTACCAAATTAGACACCCAGCTTTCAATTTCTGCGTGGAAATTGAAGTGCTTAGCCAATGCGTGTCCCATCGATGAAAACAAATGGCAATCGGAAGATGCCAAGGGTAGCAACTCCCAGCCAAATACCCAAATTGTATCCTGAACCATTTTGCTTTGTGTGCAGGTGCATTTTCGTGTAACAAAATTACTTTGTCGTGTCTTCTGACCCGTCTGATTGCTTTTCGGTCAATGCATGGTTGAAATTGATCATTTGTGGTCTGTAGCGGTCATGTGGCACCCATTTTAAGCACTTTTGGATTTTTCCCATAGCTTTCAAAATTGTTTGTTGTGCATGGCTTCCATTTGTTTTTGACTCAGTATCATCTTTATCCAATATTGCTTCCAGTTCGGCGTCTTCAAATGTTTTTTATTTCTCACATCAAAATTATTATCTCTGCATGTTGCTTCTGATAGAGAATGATCACCATATGCCTCGAAAAGCATTCGATGCGACTTTGCAGCACTTTTCTTTAAATCATCACTTTCCGGTACAAAATTTGACATTTTCAACACAATGAAAAAAAATGATGTTGTTTATTCAATGACTGTTATTGCATATGTTTGACAGATGTTATGCCAACAAAACAGAAAACCAGTTAAGGCTCGTTCACAACCAACACATTTGTATCTTAGCGCTCACTTCATACCGGTACATTTCACAGTACTCAGTTATAAAAATAAAATTTCTTGTCAAATCTCTGGTAGCGCAACAAAAAACATATGTTATTGACGTTTATGGAAATGTTGAAGTTTTTATAAGCAACGGGTCAAAAGCGCGTTTTAAATGGCATTGAAAAAAAATAATAGTAATCAAAGCGATGTAAACTTATTACTTTCGGTAATAAATAAACACAAAAATATAATAGAGTGCAAGAAAAGCGGTACCTTTACGGTAAAAGTGAAAAATAAAGTTTGGGCCAAGATTAAAGAAGAATTCAATAGCAAAACAATTTCTCATTTGAAAAATTGATGTCAAGGTAATATCAATAATGGGATCGGAGAAGCTTCAAGGAGTGGAATCGGTATTCGATAGTGAACTAGCTGCCAACTTTGATATTGGTGAGAAACTACTTTATAAGCAGTGAAAGTCTCTATATATTTTTTATAAACTGTTTTGCAGATAAGGCTGACAGCAATGCAAGTCTTAATCATTATCAGGATGGTAGCGACATTTTAGATGAAATCCTAGACACTAGCATGACTGCAGACACGGCAACTACTTCTAACAATTGGTGTTCATACACGCAAAAATACAAAGCGAAAAACTCAAGATCGACCAGTGCCAAGGCGGTGAGAATACAACATGATCGAAACTGGCAGCTGTTAAATCAAAATGGACCTAAGAAAAAAGCTGTGGGAGCAACAGGTAGAGCAGTCTGAAGTCGAACATAAAATGCGTATGAGAGTAATGGAAGAATTAAGTAGCGCAATCTTCAAAAATATAACACACACAAAATAATAGTACAGCTCCATATGTATATACTACATATGTTTAAAGGTTATTTATTAATTTTTAAATACATGTAACATAATAAGTAATTATTATATTTAAATAAATATAATACTTAATTTGCAGTTACAATGTTGTATGTATCTATTTAATAAATTATTTCTGGTGACATTTTTTTGAATGCGCCGATCAGAGCTGCGGTTGTTCGGTGTGTTTAAAACTGCCATGATTGGTCCATCAATTTCAGGATCTAAAAAAGATGCTTCAGTGTCGTGATGCAAACAGCATAAGTTGCTAAAGACTGCTGTGGCGATGTTAATATTAGTGCCCGAGAGTTTACAAATCGTTGACGAATCACTGTGAAATAAAATTCAATTAGTTATCGCCATACAAATGTTAACTACTGACTGTGAAAACGGCTCTCAGGGTAATGAAGACATTTTACATCGATAAATTAAGGAAATTACTTAACCGCAAGAATGTTCATATCTCTATTTTATTACTATTAGATTGGCTCTCAATGTTCATTAAAAAACATAAGCGTATGCCTTCGAAAGTACATACAACTTGTAATTTATCTAGCGTAGTTTATTACTTTTAAAAGTTGAAATAAAACAAGAAAACTAATAATCGGCTTTTGATCCACGCACTTAAAATATATATAATTAAATTAGATATAATTAAAGTATTTACAAAAGAACGCTTCCTCAAGCAATTTTTCGAAAATGTATTATTGTAAATGCATTATCAGATTAGATCTTTCTTTAAAGTACAACTCTGGTCCTTTGTCCTTAGTTATATTACGTGAGTGTATAATAAATAATTAAAGTGCACAAAACTTATTAAATTTGAGCTAAGTTGAACCACAAATATGGATTTCCAGAATATGTACCTACTTATATGTATATATGTACATATGTATCTTGTTGTAATAATAACTACTAACGAATTAATTTACCTCTATTTTTAAAAGGGAAAACACAATAATAGAACACAAAATGCCATAATTATTGAGTTTATGGAAAAAATTCAGATATTTTAAGATGATTTACAAAACGTAAATTAACACCATAATAAATAAATCTTTATTCAGGCGATAATGTAATGTGTGTATGTAAAGTAAGCAAGTAAATACATACAAGTATACAAATAACTGCTAAATTTCAGTTCCGATTCCCCTCGGACATCAAGTGGATTACTATTAATCTTTTCGTTGCTTACTTCCTCTAAAAAAAAATTAAAAATTGCGGAACTTATTGTAAACTTTAATAGAATTGCTTCCAAATTTTTTGATTTACATTTTTGATGTACAAGTTTTGTCTCATTAGCAAACAACTGATTCGAATATTAGTTTTGCTTATGTTGGAAAAGACGAAAATCCAATTAGATTCTGTTACACCATTGAAAATCTGAATTGGTTTGCAATTCTGACAACTAAAAAAAACTGTCATGGATTCCACAACACTTTTGAATATAAACTGACAGTAATATTGACCGTAAAGTACTTGTTTTATTGTGAGAAAAGCGTGAGGCGCTTTTTACCATATTTTTCACACATCGAGGAACGCTACGCTATTTTATAAGTTGTCAATTTATATTAGTAATTATTTTTTACTTTTAAGTTGGATGTCCTTTAAAAGTGGGCTTTCTAGTTCTTTTAAACTATATTTAATATTATTTTTTACTGTATGAAGGGATTAACCAAGACTGTGAACTATAAATGGATATATTTTACATAAATTTGTATATAACTCTAAGAGACTGTCAGCTATTAACATAAGTAGGTATGAACTGAGAATTTAAGTTTTAATTTTTTATTTAATAAAATAGAAGCGTTTAAAAAAGGTATTGTGAGTGAGTGTCATTACATTATGTCTTGTTTCCTGATAAAAAAGATTACAACTCGCTGGGAAAAATTCAGTACTTAAATCAAATTCTCCGCTATTAGTTTCGGTATCAATTTCTGAAAACTCGTATCGAGGCGACGTGTAATTTTATAGATGGCACAGCAAGTATTTACTATTGCAGTTGTTTATTCGGACCTTGTTCAAATGATAAGCATCTTAATTTTCAATTCTAAACAACAAAAGTTCTTTCTATCAAGTTTCTAGCCTTGCAAAGTATATTGTTATAACGAATTCATGGGCTTCCAGTGTTTTCACTTTCTTTAAGGATGTGTTTGAGTAAATTTCTAATTCAAGTGACAGCATTGATTGATTGATTAATTTTGAGGTATGCACCGCGACCTACGGTCTATTGTACCCTCCCCTAAGTCATATCGTGTCATCTAGGCCCAGCATATTGATAAATTCCAAAATTCTGCTGGGTGCTAGTGAGGCGATACAATCCCTGTGTGGAAACATGGTTCCCAGGGCCTTGATTCTGCGTCTGCAGACTGCTGTGCAGTTCATCAGCAGATGTTCGGGGGTTTCCGGCTCTATGTCGCAGAACCGGCAGTTTGCAGAAGAGGCTATGCCCATGTTAAAGAGATGCTTCTTGAGCCAGTCGGTTGCACACCATGAGTGCCTTTGTAGCTTTGGTTAGGGTCTGGTCCACGTGCTGATTCCATCGCAGTGTGGAATCCAGCGTGAGTCCCAGATACTTGACCGTGCTGGACATCTCAACCACTCTGCCGTCCAGGGATATATTCCTGAGGCCCGGCAGTGACCTCCGTCTGGTGAAGGGAATGATTGTAGTTTTAGCGGGGTTGATGTTTAAGCCAACCCCCCTACACCACCCCTTTGCCAGTCCCAATCCCCTCTGAACGATATCGCAGAGTGTGTCTTCAAATTTTCCCCTAGCTAAGATAACAATGTCATCCGCATATCCCTGACAGCGGATTCCATTGCTAGTCAGCCGCTCAAGGAGGTCGTCTACAACTAGGCTCCAAAGTAGGGGGGATAGCACTCCGCCCTGTGGGCAACCTCTTGTTGTACCCAGACGAATTTTAGTTTCGCCTACTGCGGCTTCCGCCACCCTAGTGCGCAGTACGGCTTCAATCCATCTGCGCACTGGTGCTGCCACACTCCTTTTCTCCAGTGCTCTTGACAGGCTCTCGTGAGACGTGTTGTCGAAAGCACCTTCTATGTCGAGGAAGGCGCATAGCGTCACCTCGCCCCCATCTAACGAATTCTGGATCTCTGAGGTTAGCTGGTACAGAGCAGTGTTAGTTGATCTACCCGCTCTGTAAGCATGTTGCTTCTCATGAAGCGGTGAAGCTTTCAGCACCTTCGATCGTAATTCGTGGTCTATGATCTTTTCCATACTTTTGAGTAGGAAGGAAGTAAGACTTATTGGCCTGAACGATTTCGCCAATGAGTAGTCTTTCCTCCCTACTTTGGGTATGAAGATCACCTTTGCGGTGCGCCATGGTTCTGGGATATATGCCAGCGCTAGGCTATCCCTCATCAGCCGAACAAGGTGGGGCAGTAGCACCTGCTCCCCCTGTTGCAGAAAAGCTGGAAGGATTCCATCCGCACCCGGTGACTTGTATTTTTCAAAAGAGGCCAGAGCCCACTTGATGGAGTCTGCAGTGAAGAGCTGTTTTGCGACTGTCCAGTCCAAGCGTGACGGCCTTCGTTCGACCATAGGTCGAATCTGGTCTTCATGAATCGTCTCCGGGAAATGCGCTAGTAGAAGAGCCGTAGCTCTTTCTTCTGCGCTGGACGTATAGGTCCCATCAGATCGTTTGATCGCTAGTACTGTGTCCGTCTTGCCTCTAGCCAGAGCCTTATGCAGTCTAGCTGCCTCTGGGGTAGAGGAGACGCTCTCACAGAACTTCCTTAAGCTCTTCTGTTTCGCCGTCCTAATCTCCTTATTGTAGGTAGTTAGGCTGCATCTGTATTCCTCCCAGTTTCCGGTGCGCTTAGCCTTATTGAATAGCTTGCGCACCGTTTTTCTCAGTACTGAGAGTTTACTTGACCACCAGGAGCAGTTACTGCTCTTGGCGACTGTCTTTAGGGGGCAGCTGCTGTGATAGGCTTCTGTGATGGATTGGTTTAGGGCAGACAGTCTGCTCTCCAATCCAGAAGCCGTTGCGCTTATATCCAGCTGCTCCCTACTGCTAACATTTGTTTTAAGCGAGTCCCTGAAAGCGGCCCAGTCCGTGTTCCTAGGGTTACGCTTGGGAGGGAGTTGCCCGACACCCATCCCCAGCACGAATCTTATGATACGGTGATCCGACATGGAGGGTTCCGATGATACCCTCCATTGTGAGATCAGCCCCATCTCAGACTCGCTGCTGAGAGTGATGTCAAGCACCTCCCTTCTGGCACTAGTTACAAAGGTGGGTTCGCACCCCACGTTTGCTATACTTAAATTATTACTAACTATAAACTCGATAAGAGACTCACCCCGTGTGTTGCAGTCCGTGCTGCCCCATTCGATATGGTGGGCATTCGCATCGCAGCCCATGATGAGGGGCAGTTTATTCCGCCTGCAGTGCTCTACCAGGTTGCCGATTGCCTCTGGGGGTGCTATCGGAGTCTCCCCCGGAAAATAGGCCGCTGCCACGACGAAGTCCGCTCCTTCGTCGTTCGTGGCTTGTACAGCGACCAGGTCCTGTGTTAGGAACTCTGAAAGACAGAAATAATCAATATCGTTCCTAAGTACTACGCAGGTTCTGGGTCTCTCACTTGAGAGGTCCCAAATTACCTTGTTTGACTTCATTTTGAGGCCCCTGACCTCTCCTTTTCTGACCCATGGCTCCTGGATCAGTAGTATGCCCAGACCATCGATCGTAAACCTGCTCGCGATAACCGCCGAGGCTGACGCCGCGTGGTGCAGGTTTACCTGGGCAACTTCTATTCGCGGACCCACTACAGGATCGGCTCCATGAGGAACTGGTCCTCATTCTCACCGTCCTCCGCGATGTCTCCCGCCAGGTTCGTGAGCCCCTCCAGAAGCTCCTGAGTAGAGGGTAGCGCCCCCCCTTGCTCGCCCGTCTTCTCGGAGGGGAACCCTTCACAATGTCTCGGAAGTTGCCGCCTGCTTTGACGTGCTTGCGCAGGGATGAGTCGCAACCTCATCCACCTGCATTTTTCCCCTGCATCGCACATGGTGGTCGGCTTAGGCCTAAATGGCCTCAGGACCACCGAGCTGAACCTGCAGTTCAGACGGAAGCTCACCTTCCTGACGAATTTGTACGATTCGTCATCTATGGAGAGGTTGAGCCTCCACCCCGAATCCTCCGCAGTGCTGCTGGTCACCCGCCAGGCCGATGTATTGATCGTTCTGGTTGCGGATGAGCACGAGAGCAAATTCGTAAGGCTTGCCTGCGCATCTGGGGAGGAATACAGTCATGCTATGCATGGGCGGAATTTCGTCCCCCTTTTTCGCGCAGAGGATGGGTCGATTCCAGCCTGCCAGCTTGGGAGCGATCTCCCGCAGCCAACAAGCCGACCTTTCATCCTTGCAGTCTACCTGCAATATGCCTCCCTTGAAATAAACCCCATGGAAGGAGGCTTTGTATCCAGACCCCCTGAATACCTCCTCCATGAGCAAATCTTGGAGCACGGTAAGCTCCTCCGACCCCAGCGTCTCCGCCGGGTAGTTCAGCGGCAGCACCGCCATACGAATGCCTTTAAGGGCATCCGCATACCTGCGCTGTCCCTCCGCTACCCGGGGGGGATTTGGGGCGGAGCGGTTGCCACCAGTCGCATGAGCCACGTTGCCCCTCTGCCGCTTGGTGTTGGGCGGCTCCTGTGGCGTCAGCTATCCACTTTTTCCCTTCGCCGCTTGGGTGGTCGAGGGAGCTGCCCTTTCGCAACCTCGGCCTGCGGGCTGAGTTGCGTTTACTGGGCAGTGGCCTCGATTGTTGCCATTGCGTTTCCTAGTGGCCGCAGTATTTCCACTCTTTTGTTTTCCGGAAGCCGGGGAAGTGCTGTCACCTCTCACCCTGTTCCGCGCTAGGTCTTCTGCTACCTCCGGAGTTCTTCCCTCCTGGAGGTGCCTCAGGTACCACTTCAGGCTGGCACCGCTCATACCTTTTCTCCTGGGATCGTCCTGTCCTCCCGGACATCCCGTTGGTGGCAGGGGGGTCGTCTGCCTCCCCTCTTCTTTTTCCGTTTAAGAGCCCCACCGGAGGTCGCCCGTTGCGACTCCTCTGCATCCGAGCAGTTGCTCCTGCTCGAGAGAGTCTCCGTGGGCTTTTTCCGCAGCGGCCGCAGTCGAAATCGCTTGCTGAACGCCGCTGCACGAGGGCATGTCATCGTCGTCGTCCCTGGCATGCTCCTCGAACAGCGCTCGCTCCTCTGGCGAAAGGGCGTCCAGGAAGCTGAACTTTCGTTTAGCCCCTGATTCGCCCTTACCTGCACCGCTGCCCTTGTCGTTGCCGTTTTCCATGGTCGTTAGCTGTTGTTGTTGCCGAGATCCGCCGCGCCAGAGCCCCTTGACGCGGTAAGGCCACCGTTACTTCCCAATGCGGCCCGGTGTTGGGAAGGCTCCGTTAGAATACAGCCGAATTTACCTCCTGGCTGCAAATCATCCAATGGGCACGGGAGTCGCATAACACCCTGGATTAGGAGGTGGCAGCTCTTGGTTGTCGCACGCATACGGCCTCTGACAACCAGTGTGAGGGTGCAAGCACCGCTCGCACCAGTTGGGAGATGCCGAGGATGCCTTGCGACTTAAGCCCCTGCACCACGGCAAGGTGCCTGCCATTCGCAGAGGAAACCATGGAATGGCAGGCACCAGGAAGTGACAGCATGGATACCTGATGCTTTTAATTGCAGAAATTAAGGAAAATTTTTTTGGTTGTTTTTGCAGTGGCTTTCAAACTCTTTTGCCATGCAGTTTCAGTGCCACTGAAAAATGTTACAAACATGCAAACATACAGGTGAAGCTAATGAAAGCGTTTTATAAATGAAGGATGAATATTATTGCAAAATAAAGTATCTAAAGCATAGTTTTATTTCCATTTAAAAGTAATAGAGTTGGTCGTGTTGCCATATAAGAATGTTTGCCTGATGAAAATATAAAAATGGGCGTAGGCGTGGAGCGATCCATATGCCAAACAGATTTAAACGATATTGTTAGATAATATTCTTATGACGTTCTTTCAGCTCTGTTAAAAAATTGATAAGCCATCCACTTTTTATGAAAAGAAGCACAAATACCGTTTGTCCGCTTAATTTAATTGACATAAAAAGTAAAATAATACATTTTCTAAAATGTGTGCTTTGTCCACACCTAGTACAATTATATTTATGTTTTTACTTCATTTTCTAATCTTGTAATTAACAGACACCTGCGTTAGCGGTAGGAATATTTCCCACGACATATTCTTATTACAACACAATAAATGATGATGACCATCCAGTGGTACAGTTATCCAAGTATACGATTGTTAATACTATTACAGGGCCTGATGGTTACATAAACTTTCTTCAGCCATCTGAAGAGGCTACATCTATATACGAAACCAATACATATTACAGCAAGTTAAAATTTACAAATATCCTACAAACGACCGGCGCCGAAAAAATGTATGTAACCACCAATATACTCACACAGGTGATAGTAACAGAGTCACTGGCGCCACGTAATTCGCTACTGCTAAAACACGTTGAGTCTAGTTCCGCACAGATTAATAGAAAATCTGATGAGATATTAACATATAAAAACTCGGAACCTATAAAACATCCAACAGTATTGTATGAAACGAAAAGTGAATACGATATGCACATATATACAACGAAAACATTTGTAACAACATTAACTTATTTGAAAACAACATTAGTAAGTGGAAGTGATGACGAAAACGTTTCCACGATGCATAGAATTGTGCCATCAAAAAAATTAAAAACATCGGGGATGGTTGAACAAATACAAAACGCGCAAAATGTGCATAATTCCAATATTAGTTATCGCACACGTATTATCGAGAATGTAATCTCTGAAACAGTACCGAGTTCGTTGCTTAAAAGCGAGGTGGTTTCGAAATTTCGCGATGTATTGAAATCTATTAAGCCCGAACGACGTATTTTTATAACTACAGCTTCCTTATTGAATGGTGAAACGTTAGAAATAACAGCAATGCATGCATTAAAACCATCATTAGCCACGACAAAAGAAGAATTAAAAAATGTTATAGGACCGAAGCAAACAATAGTAGTCATGTCCACAAGCGTTCCTTTGCAAATGATACATACGTTGAGTGATACGCTAAGTAAAGGCACTAAGAAGAACAACACATTGAAAATAACGACTACAGCTACAAAAATACAAAGCACTTCTACAGAACTGTTTAATGCGGCGCATGCAATCCTTGATGAGGACTCATTAAGTGCGGACGCTGAATACAACGAAATCTATTCAAGCAAATCACCGCAGTTTCTTAAACCATCCAAACCACAAAAAAATCAAACAATACAACATTTGGTTGATAATATTATCATTGCTACAACTACGAACAACAAAAATCGGCTACCGGTTGCAGTCAGTCAAATAATTGACTCGCTGAACTTACAACGTTTAAATGCTCTACGGCCAGTCATAAACGCTATGGCCGGCTTGTTACAAGGTAGTTTTGCTACAGCTTCAAAACAGTTACAGCTAGTAAGTAGTTCTTCAGTTCCGTTATCGGCGTCAACTGGTACAGAAATTGCATCGATTGTCAGCAGTACGCAAATGAACCGTTCGAACCGTTATAATTATCAAGAAATAAATGATGGTGCAGTAATAAAGCAGAAAAAGCCTATATATATACCTGTAATAGATTATGAAATTAATAGTCATAAAAAACAATTCTCTAATATAGCAGCTGTAAGCGCAGCGGGTGATCTATTAGGCGTGTCTACTGTGCAAAGTTTGCACTTGCAATCAGATGCAGATAATAAATATTTACAACAGCAGGGCAAACAACAAACCCTGTCACAACAAAATCAGTATGCAAATAGCCTTAAAAAATCACAAAGTTTTGATATGTTAACAGAAAACAATATTTTTAACATGATGCTGAGAAATGGCGGTATACCGATTAGACCAGGTGAGGTTATCACAGCTAATTCTGATATTATTATCGGTAAACCGAATGGCATCCAGCATCCTCAAATTCCTCTTGCTAGTAATTTTGCCAATTTGGAGGAACAAAGCCAAAAGCTTAGTGTGAAAAATTATCATAAAATGTATAAGCAGCACATTGAAGTATTTGGTGGTACCAATAAGCCTTTTATGACTAGCCATATAAGCACAATACCTCTAGGTCATGAGCCACAAAACCAATACAATAACTCAAAGCGGAAGCTGATATTACAACAGAAGAACAAGTTGCTTTCAAAATTACCAGCGCAACAGGTTATCCACAATTATTATACACACAATAATTGGGTACCAGCAGAAAATTATGATTATCTTCTAACACCACCACCACCAGCGGTGCACACGGCCCTTTCAAATATAGAGAAATTGGAGCCAATGTCTTCATCACATATAACAAATTTTACGGTACTAAAAAGTGTACAGCCTACTAGGTTTTTAACTCCTGTTAGTGAATTGCACAAATCAAAAAAAAGGTATTATGCTGTAAACAATAATACTCATACGACCACTCAAATTTATGACAGGAATTTATCATCTAATATTAATAACAATAAGTTAACAAAGATGCATGACTTAATGATGAATACATCTAAAACATATGTTAATTATCACGGAAAGTTTCAGCATGCGCAACATATGGAAAATCCGGTAAATGAGAGGTTATCGTCGGAATATTCACCATATTCATATTCTGCTTTAAATGCTTCTTATGACACCGTGGTGTTGAGACAACAGACCCCGAAAGCGCCGGGAGTATATGCAGGTACGCAAGCTAATCATCAAAGTATAAATTTGCATACACACGTATTCAGTCATAATGTGAATATGCACGCACCCCCCTTGACATTCAAAAAGGAAACAGACTATCCAAAGTATGCAACCGCTGTACATGGTCAGATTCCGAAAGTTGCTGAAGGCGCAGTCAGGTACAATATGCCACTTATAAAAATTCCACACAACGAAAAACAAGTGCAAATTAACTTAACACCACAAAATGTTATCGAACAAATCAATAACCCCGGTGTTATTGCATATACAAAGGACACTACGAATACAAAAAGTATTTTTGTGGAAAATATTGCCGACAGCTCTGTTATTGGTTCATTTTCTCTTTATAACAGCTTACCTAGTGATTTGACGAATCTACAGCAGCAGAAATCTAAAGCTCAAAAGCCGCTACGAACACAATTAAACCACAACCATGCACATCTTTATATAATGGCAAAAAACAATAATTTTACAGATAACCACAATCAAAGCTCCAACAATAAGGAGAGTGTCAGAAATGAATACCAACGTATATTTATACCAGCAGCAGCAGGTGTAACGACATCAGATACGTTCACTCAGCAGCAGTATCCACAGCGTGTTGGTTATGACGTTAATATGTACGCCACAAATGGAAGTGCTAATAAGGAATTAACAGACGTTATAAAGAATGTGACAAGCGTAAATCATGCAATTGCTGGCTCTCTAAGCACTGCAAGTTTATATTACCAACCAAATAACATGATTGACAAAATAAGTTATTTAAAAAGTGCCAATACTTATGATACAGCTGTTGAAAGGCTTATTGATAAGAATAGTAAAACCGGTGTTTTAGTATCTAACAACAATGTAGATAACAACGTGGATCAACATACGGCATCGGCTACTAATAGTTTGCATGAAAAAACGCGCACTGAACAACAGAAAGTGTTGCAACCATTTTTTTCACCTTTTGCTGCAATGGAAGTCAGTAATACGCATCCAACACTGTTGGAGCAATTAAATGGTGATATTACCAGAAACTCTTCACGAAACTCTACCATTCCTTCAAGTCGAAAAAATGTGCGTCCGATAACCTATTATTTAACTAGAGTAACGCAGGAACATACAGCAATATCGACAAAGTCGCCTTCCCAAACTCCCCAAATGCGACTTAATGAAAAGAAATACACACAGAATACACAGTTACTGTCGCGTGGTGCCCCTTTTGCTACTCAAAGATTGCAAATTTTACAAAATGCGACACAAAAACAGCAAAAAAAAACTATTTATTTTGCTAAAGGCGATAGTTTTAAAACGAATCATGAAACCAAAGCCACAAGTGTACATACAGATGACTTAGCAAGTATAGTGCCAAAAAGTAAACAAGAATATAAGCAAACGTCAAAAACAAGAGAACCTAATAAAAATTATAAATTAACAGCAAAAGAACAGATTTTATATGCAACAACCACAATGCATTTGCCAAAGACGATCAGTAATAAACAACCAACAAAAAACGAAACGCGCACAGTTAATCAGCGTCAACAGAATCTAAGCAGTTTATCTTTGCCTATAACATCATTACCATTACCACCACCTCCAAAACAACAACAGCCCCATTCTTTAACTTTTCCAACTGTTAAGCCACAGACAACAGTTATACACACAAGTAATACCCAGGATTACGAGACAATCAACTTAAAGTCAATATGGCAGACACTATTGCAATCGCCACCACTACAATCAACACAAAAACCATCGCAGGCAAAAAACAGATATATAGGACGTACAACGGCGCTGACACAAAATCGGAAAATACCGAAACCAATACCACTATCGAAAATCAATGGTACAGTGACGCACAGTGTCGTGAAGGAGGACATAAATTTAATAACGAGTACAAATAATTTCCTGGATATATCAACAAATGTATATTCAGTAATCAATTATAATGCTAATAAACATGTTAAGCCAACAGCAACAATAAGAGATACAAGCAGTTTATCATTAGTATGGAATTCATCCACTGTATACACGGCTTTTCAAATTCCAGGAAAGCATGTTAAGAGTCCAATGTCTGTACAACAATCAAGCGAGTATGAATCGCCGCTAAATACAGATGTTAACATTATAAGCAAACCGCATGAATTAGTTACCCTCAAACCTTTTCTCGAATCTTCAGAAGCGGCAACGATATCTCCAAGTAGTGGAGCGTCGCTAACAGACGCTTTCACGCTTTTAACGGCTTTTCCAAATGGATTTATGGGCGTAATCGTAGAGAAATCAAATCTTTCACAAATTGACAAAACAAAAAGTCAGTGGCACCTAAAGTACAATAGTCGAACAAACATTTTTTCTGATACCATATTTTATAAGAATATTGAATTATTTCCAACAAAGTACATAACAAGAGCACAACTGATAACTCCCTCCAGCACACATAGTAGGATGCTTACAACAACTGCGTATGAACAGTTACAAAATGATACTTTCTTTGATACCAAACTACAAACGACTACCACGGATAATACAATAACGCAAACCGAATGGGCAACTAAAACCATAACTGTAACAGAGTCAGAATCTTTAACCGAGAAAGCAAAAGAGTCAGACGCGAAAATACTAGAAACATATACAAACATTCCCGCGGAGCCCACAAGGGTAACCGTTGGTAGTATATTACCAATTGCAGAGATTATTGTTTCAGATGTCGAAGGGAAAACGCCGGACAATATCTTTAACCATGCCAATGTTATTGCAACAATGGTATCCGCAGAAGTATTAGAAAATGAGAACACAAACATACATTTTAATATAGGCAATTATATCTTACCACAATATGAGCCCTTCACGCACACCAATCAAAGTCGCAAAACACAAAACAATAATATAAAGCATAATAATAGTTTTGTAGTATATGAAAACGATTTAAATAAAATCAATATGGGTAATAGGAATGAAGTGCCAATTTTCAATATTTCAAATACAACTACAGAAAGTGTTTACGTAGAGCCAAAAAACAGCATTTTTATTGTGATGACCAACTCACAAAGTAATGTCAAAGCCAAGCAACCATATGATCTGTCAAACGTTATTAGACTTGACAGCGCAGATGCCTCGTCTATTGGTTCTATTGTCTCTGGCGCCGCTAGTGATATTGATAATATTGACACAAATACAGGCACTATACAATTAGATTATGAAGACAGCGTTTCGGTGTTTAATTTACCTACACGAGATGAACAGTCTATTGCCGAGCCGCACGATTCTCGTACAATGATTAATCAAGTACTGCTGGGGGGTGTACTTATAGCAACACCACCGAAGCTGAATATCAGCATCAGTCCAACGGCGAAAAATTCAACATGCCTGCCCCCATGCAAAATGGCACGTAATGAGGTGTGCACTCTGGCAGAGTTTCGCTGGAATTGTGTTTGTCGCCCTGGCTTTGCACGCATGTTTCCCGATCGCCCATGTAAACGTAAGTATAAGTAAATATATATGGATGCGTAAATATGCCAAGTCGGCATAGAAATCGCGTATTTTCACGGAGATCGAGCAAATTAACTCAAAACTATTAGACATAACGTTTTAAATTTCTTTCTGTTTGTAGAATGATTATTTTTGAAAAAGTTTGCCCTACTTCTCAAAAACATCAACTCCCTATTGTTATTTACGTTTATAAGCATACTGAGCTCAGCTGTTATAAGCAGTAAAAATCCACTTACACCTAGTAGTTAGGTCTAGTAGACTGACAACTCTACAACATCATTGGGATGCTAATTATACCAATGAGTTTATATATTTACATATGTATATGTATAGTGTTAACTTAGTTGTCTGGCGCATTTGTGCACCATTAGTTGAATCAATGCAGACTATTCGAAATATATACCTATATATATACCATATATATGTATGTATTTTATACAAGAAAAAATGTAAAAATGTGCTTACTTTGTCCTCTTTATAACTAGTTTTATATCTAAGGAGCTATCTAAACACGCTTAATTATATGATGACATCCGTACTAGCGCTAATAACGAAGGAATATATACTTCATAAATTTTCAGATATATGTATGTACATACATATATGGAAATATTTGATTTGGTTGTAACATTTTCAAATTATTATAAATTATTGCTCCCCAACTTAACTTAATTTTAAACTATTTTTTATGAAAAATGATTTTTAACATATTCATATAATAAATTATGCAGCAACCTACACATACCAATTGAGTCTACGTATTGACCATTATGGAGATTTTAAATTGTTTTACGATCACTCTTTGGCCGATAATTCCACTGATGACTATAAGCATCTCGCAACAGTTACGAAGGAAGCTATAAATCGTATGGTAATGCAATCCGATTTACGTGATATTTATCATGGAGTACAGTTGTCCACATTCACTCTAATATACGACGCAAATATGGATACAGGTGGCAAGTCAACAAACATAAAGTCATCTGATTTATCGGCAAATTTACTCTTACAGGTTTGTGCTTCTTAACTTATTATTTCTAATATAGTTAACATGCTTTAGTACAGTGACGACCAGATAAGCAATGAGCACACAAAAACAAAAAGACGAAGAAATAGGAAAATAGTATTCTTTGATCTCGATACACCTGATCCAGATGCGCCTACTTATTTAACCCGTACAACTTTTTGGCGGCAATAACTTTCTCATTTCTTTTTGCCCAGCGAGTAACTTTTCAAAACAAACAAAAAGAAGTCGCCAAATCAGGAGAACATGGATGTGGTTACAGTCTGATTTGATCAATTTATTCGTGGCAACGATGGAGTTGTGAGCCGGTGTAGTGCTTAACCTTGTGACCGTTTTACCCTTCGATATCCATATGTAGATCACACCTTGTGAATTGCAGAAAACGATGGTTATCTCCTTTCCGGCCGTAAGGCAGTATTTACCTTTTTCGGTTGATTCGCCGGGTGAAGTCCACTGGTCCGTGGTCTCAGGAGTATACCAGTGGATCCGTGATTCGTCGAAGGTTACAAAACGGAGCAGACTGCGCCTAAATACTGTCAAACATTGCTGTGAAGTAAACGCGGCGCACACAGCACTGTCATTTTTCTAAGTTGCCAAGTGTTTCATCTATTTCTCGCACTTGCAATCGATGGTATGCCAATGCCGGATCTTGGACTTTTTTCACGTTATAATCTTTTTGGAGAACTTGGGTGCAGTTCATTAAAACTCTTTAAACCAATTTTGACGCTATTTGGTTTCACTGAGCGTAGTTTCTTTTCCCATAACAATAAACGATGCACCGAGCGACATTGGTCTTTTTTATTTTTTATAAATCCCTCGCGGTCAAAAAAAAAAGTACGAGTGATAGAACGTATTACACGATAGGAAAATAGTAGCGCTATATGATGCAATAGTTGTAACTCAAAAGTAGAAAGTTATTTCCCTGTTGTTTCTTCTTGTTGACTACAAGTAGTTTATTGCTACTATGTATTACTAAATATTTCTTTGCTTAGAATTATCTTCAAATATTTTAATGCCCACGTTTATATAGCTTTCAGAAAATAGCGACGAGGAACGTCTAATGGCTGTATTTAAAAAGTATTTACGCTTAACTAACTACAGCATTGGTGGCACAAAACTCTTCACGGATCGTAATGGTGTAGAATCATTGGCAATAACGGGTAAGAATTAATTTACTAAAACCGTATTCATGTTCGGCCACTTTCCGTGACTTTCAAGCCAACTTAAAACTTACAAATGAAATGAAAAATTTAAATCTCTATTGTGTATGGCGACTAGTGCCAGTACAGTAATCGTCAGGCATTGTCATCGCACATCGGTACTGGCTAGTAACCAAAGACATTATATTATAGTGATTATAGGGAATTTGGTTTGTTCACTATTTTTGTGGTATTTTATATAATATTACTACTATCTCTTGATATATTATACATAAATGTCATCAGGAAACTGCTTACTACTAGTTAAACATATTTTGCGAGTTTCGTACTAGTGTGAATACTTAAATTATCTTTAAAACATGTACGGAAGCGTTGAGTTAAGGTGTAACCGAACATTTTATTCTCTCGCAATTTTCAACGATCAAAGGCGTGTTGCGTTTCTTTATATTCAATATTCACTTAGTTTCATAATAAATGTTTGCTTCTTGTTCGAAATATTTATAATACCATCAATATAACTAGCAAAAATCACAATTTCCATCACATTATTGCTGTAGGAGGGTGCAATAGCAATAATGTTTACCATCGCTCAATTTGTTGAGACATTTTCTATTGAGCTATATGCGATATAAATTCAAATGAACAAAAATAAATATATTATGTATATGAGGAAAAAGTCAAACAGAGACTCGTAAATCATTATATTACGAGTTTGGGGTTTAGCCCAAGGTCTACACCGGTTTCATTATTATTCAGCGCTAAATCACATTAGATGAATGTCAATAAGTTATCTCATATATTACCGTTATATACTGTATACATATAGTCAAGTATAGGTACTGAGGCCGACATTTTCAATATCTAGGCGCTTGAGAAGTTGTAGTCCGAAATGTTATACCTTGAATGCAGTATTTTTTTCAAACTTATATTTTGACAATTTTAATGTTATATATTGTAATTCAAACTCTTACGTAGAATCTACAAGGTAATATTCAAAAGTTCCAGGACTTTTTAAACAACGCGACTTCTAGTGGCGCTATCTGTCTGAAATTGTTATCCCTCAGTTGTGTATTCTTCAGTGTTGTCGTATAAAATTTATATAACAGCTGACGTGTATAACAGCTGAGATATCGCGCTACATGTGACATTACATTTGTCGGAAAATGAGCCTCGAACAAAGAGCCAACATTAAGTTTTGTTTTAAATTTGGTAAAACTTTTACCAAAACTCATCAAATAATGAAACAAATTTATGGCGAAGATTGTCTATCCCGTAGCCGTATTCACGAGTGGTTTAAACGTTTTCAAGAGGGACGGGAGGACTTGGAAGACGACGAATGTTCGGGCCGGCCAAAAGATGTTGTGAACGAAAAAAACACGGAAATTGTGCGTGAATTCATTAAAAAAGAGCCGAAATCATCGCCTAAATATATGGAATCGGAATTATCAATATCCGCAGCGTCGATTTATCGTATTTTGACAGAAAATTTGGGCCTCAGAAAGGTTTGTGCTCCATTTGTCCCGCACACTTTGAAACAACACGAAAAAGACCTCAGAATCAGACAGATTTTTTGACCAAAAACCGCATTCATATCATCAACTATTCACCCTATTAGCCTGATATGGCACCCTGCGATTTTTATTTGTTCGGAAAACTACATTTGGCGATGAAAGGAAACCGCTATGCTGACGTTGATGCCATCCAAAGGCGACGACCGCCATCATCAACGCTATACCGACAAATGACCTAAAAAAGTCATTCGATAACCTTCTTGAATGTTCAAAACGTTGTATTGAGGCGGAAGTAGACTATTTTGAAGGCGACCAATAAATTTTTCAAAAAAAAAAAACAAATAATATTCGTTTTTTAATAAAAGTCCAGAAACTTTTGAATTGCACCTTGTATATACTATATTTAAATAACTAATTTTATTTTACAGATTTCAATGAGTGTGCGCATGGAAATTTTCACGATTGCTCTTCAAACGCTCTTTGCTTTAATTTGCAAGGCACATATACATGCAGTTGCAAGGAAAATTTCGCAGACTTATCAGGCAACACCGTTTACCCAGGTCGTGTATGCTCAGCCGAACTAGTCGGGTGCGAGCGATGCCACTATCACGGCAAATGTGTCGTCAAGAAATCCGATCGCCCATACGCTTCGGAACATGTAGTGTGCGAATGCTTTGCCTGGTATACGGGATCAACATGCCAGCTGAATTTAAAAATAGTTCTTATAGTTTTAATAGCCGTCGGTACACTTCTCTTTACACTCTTGATGTTTTGCATTCTTCTCATATGTACCAAGCGGCATACATTGCGTAAAAAATATCATGCTCCATCACAATCTGATGCGGGTATCCATAGAATTACTGGGATACCAAGCATTGGTTTAATAAGTTGCAAAAGTACACATGGTATAAGAGGTTGCAGATCAAAACACATTAATATCGATAAATGTGCAATAATCAAGGATACAAGCAGTGAAAGTAGTAAAAATACTTTACTATGTGTTTTGAAGGTAAGTGAATTAGTATACCTACAATCAAGGACTACAGTAAGGAGAAGCATCTATGACTAAATTTTTTTTTAGAAGAAGGTGAATTTTATTTCCAAGTCGCGTTCGAACGTTTTTAAAACATGGGTTCCGAAAGTAATCGAAGAATATATGCATTTGCTGATGTTATTAACATCACAATTAACGACATAAATTTATTTGTTGTTGAATTGTTAGAATTCTGTTTGTAATATGTCTTTATGATCTCTTTTCATTAGAATAATATTGTCCGCCATTTCAATAATTATATTTTCCATTTCTTCTATGTTTATTAGGTGTACTACTATGTCTGTATCCTTGCCTATTTCTTGTGGACTAATTTGAATGTCTATAAATCCTAATTGTTCTGTCAAGCATAAGCAATATTGGCCATGCTGCGATATAGGGTGTCCTGCCAATTGAGGGCTCTTGGTTATTATTATAGTTTGTTAATTTTTTCACCTTGATTTTGTCCATATTGATTACTATCCTATTGACCATATGATTATTATGATAGTTGATTCAGTTGGTATTGACCGAAATTTCGCCTAGGGTTTCCTGTCGTTTGTGATTTTCGGAAATTACCCGAATTTGTTGATCTACAATTATTGCTATATATTCCGTTATTATTTTGTTACTGAAGACCGAGTTAACAGTTATCTCCCCTGTTCCAGTGACTATGGGCAGATCGTTGACTAATTTTAACAAAGTTGTCTACTGCCATTATTTCATTCGGGACGATTTAGTTACTCCACTTAGGCTACCGCTGCCATCTGAGCCTATTTACCTTCCACATTTCTTCTCGTATCGTATTGGTTTTGTCGCCTTATTTTCGTCGTTGTGTTTAGTTATTTTAAGTGTTCACTACACATTATTTTGGGTGGTGTTCACTTTAACTTTCTTTATATATATATGTATACGAGTATATGTTATGTAATCATCATATATGTTTATATACTAGAAGACTCGGCGTACTCTGTTCCGCCTTAGAGGAAATCCATAAGCAGATTTTGGATTTTATTAAGTTAAATTTTGTATTCGGTAGTAATATTAAAATAAGAATTTTAATGATTATTCATTGTTAATGTATTTCGGTGCAGAGATTGTACTCTTCAGTTAAGTACCTTGTGATAACGACATTTTTTCTATTATCAGGCGCAGGAACAAACAATGCAAATGGATATTCGTTTCAAACCACAAACTTTCAAGAATTGGCCTTGTGATTTGTTGATGAACGGCATTTCAGTTGGGGTCATGGGGCTCCTTGGAATAAAAATTTCCTCACCTTCAAATGTTCCTTTGAGTATCGTTGCGTAAATCGCGTACCGTTGCACAGTTTTGGTTGGTTTATGTTTCGAAACATGATTACTACGGAGCCAACCATTACGCGTAAATTATGTGGTGGTGAGCCAGGCACATCCAAATAGTTTGAAAATTCTATTAGATAATTGGTGGCTTCATCTTCATTTGTTCCACATTCAATAGATTTGAAGGAATGCATTGCAATTGGCACATGATCCTTTTAGTGAGTAAATTTAAATAAATAAGTATCCAGTTATACGAACCGTGTTCGAAAAGTATAAAATTCACGAAAATTAATATACATTTCTTTGTATACCCCAAAAACAATTTTACGTATCTATATCCAACTTAGGAGGTGACCAGACTCTCCATAGAAAGCCGCGATGAAGATGAAATATGTTACGAAAGGTAGCGATATGGACCATCAAGTTAGTCGTAATGTGAACTGTAATGAAATAATTTGACGTTTATTTGCATTTACATACTTTCACGAACATTGCTTTACTCAGAGAGGCCATATTATTACATTTAGAATGTTTCATCGAAGAATTTTCAACGACGGACGCAAGGTGATGCGGTTCCTGGTTATTCGGATGTGTGTTCTACTGATGCTCTAGGTCTTATATATACAGCTCATCCAAAGGGCGATGAATGCTTCTATTGGCGGTTGTTGTTTTACTTCAGTACTTCCAAGATCAACGGCTACCGATGAAATAAACGTTTGCCTCAAATCGTCGAGTCTATGGTGCTATATGAAGAAACTTCAGCTGAGAAGAAACGTGAGCGTTGCATTGCTAAATGATACATCTGCTGGAGGTATCTCTGAGCAATTGCTGACTATGAACCGTTCGAACGTTTTATTCCCCAATTAATCGAAAAAAAATACCAGTTCATTTCGATAGGATAATCAGACTGATTTTACAATTTATTAATCAGTTAACAATATAATTACTTATTATTCTTATTACATATATTTTGGAATAATATATGCATTTGCTTATCAACCATATTTACTTAAATGTTGATTAAGTTATTAACATCATAGTTTAATAGTTTTCTGGTGAAAAATTAAGCAAATTTATCGTTTTTAATGTTTGTTGTTGGGCTCTTCATATATAATTCGTTTTTTCTGTGTATATCTTAGGGGAACATTTTTTTTTAGCATTTTTTGGTTCGGTGTGAAAAAGGGGGAAATTGGTTAACATCCAAACTCTTCCTAACACAAAGTTTATGCTCAAAACTAAACTAAACTACTTCCCACATAACACAATAATGAATATTCAAACTATCCATCAGATTATTTTATTTTACAATAAATAAATAAAACATCAATGAAGGTATCGGCGTGGCCAAGTTTTTCCATGAAGCTTGTTTTTTCTAATTAAAACCCCCCGCGCGAATTATGTATTATGTCGCGGCAAGGGTTTTTTAAAATTAAAACAACAATATTTGATTAGAGCGATTTGACTAGAGCGAGGTGACTAAAATCAGACTGCTTTATTTCCATTATTTACTTAAAATGAAGCTTATTATAAAAATGCTTATAAATTAATATATATCACATTTCATTTTACATACGTTATTTTAAATATATATATATTGAATATATCTTGAGAAATATTATTGTCAAGTTCTACATTTCGTGTTGGAAGGTCGGAACTAGCGTTATGTTGCAATTTATCTTAACAGTTCGTCAAACTTATCAACTGTACCGTCAGGTGTTTTGACATGATTGTGAACATATGTAACTCGCGTTCGTCATATATTTACATTTGAAGTTGCTTTTGTTCATGACATAATTAAATATCATTATTTTTAAAATAATTTTTAAGAAGTCGTTCTTTTTGTCACATTTGCTTCTACTGCACCATTTTGTGTATTTTTTTAACCCTCAAGTACTAACAATTTTCAGTTGCATCTTTTTATTACGATATTTTCGCTACTTATGCCTTCATTTTATACTTCATTGTGCTTATGTAGAAGGACCCAACTGATATTTCTAAAAAGTCGTATCGTCGGTCCAGAGATCCGCATATAATGACGGACAGCAGCAGTGTGCATGTGGAGGGACAACGATATCCACCTTATGGTCACATAGCGCAAACAGCGACAACCAATGTTAATGTCAAAGATAGTGAAAAATATGTATTAAACAAGCATAATTCTTTCAAGGATTCGGCGTGTAAACCTACCGATCAAACAGACCAGCCATTAACAGTAATGATACCACGTGCTAAATACCATGCTTCTGTGTCGCCCCAAACTGAATTATTCCACCAACATGTAATAATGGAACATACCAAAAACCACCATGAACAACAACGAATACCACAAAAGCAGCATAATAAATCAGATATTGCCACTTCAATGACACTAAGGCGGGACAACAATTGCAATATTGTGGTAAGCAGAATACAAAACACTATGTAAGGGTGTTCGATGTCTTGGTTTTGTAGCAATTATTTAATTTTGGCACAAAATTAGATTCACATACATAAGGAAATCCCCAAACCCGTGCTGAATGCTTGCCTAACCTAAACAAATACAAGTTTAAACACGTAAGCAACAGCTATTTCTCAGTTAAGGTGGGACCGAACATTTTATATTCGCAATTTGCAAGAGTCAAACCGGATATTTATTTTTAGATATTGGAAAATTTACATTAAACAAGTAATAAAGGGCTATGTTCGGTTGTAAGTAAACATCTTATACTCACATAATTTGTAAAGGTGAAGAAATATATTTTGGTATGGGCAATACCTAAATAAATAAAAAATATGCATGTGAATTCAATATTCCTTATTCGGCGCAATCGTGCATTGATTACAGTCATATTTGGTAAAACATACGCATAATATCAATCTAAAATGTAGATCAAAGCCTTACTATGTTTGACTAAATTTTGCGTCATGCCCTACTTTTATAATAAATTCGTACAATAAATTACGATATTTATTATACTTGTATTAGGGGAGTGGGAAGTTATACTACATAGGTAATACCAGATGACATAATGCTGAAGCAATATAAACAAAATTAAAAGGAGCTAAACTCTGTATATTCGGTATAAAAGCGAAAAGTTAACTGAAGGGTCGGATATCATTAAAGTGAAATCCGCAATTACTTAGTTGTCAATATAAGGAATAAGGGGGCTATACAAAAATCTTGGCCGATTTCATTTGTAATCATGCTAAACCATATACTGCTCCACGGATCATATATAGGTATAAAAGATGATAAATAATTCTTAATATAATATCCCTGATCTAAGGGATTAGTCTCATCAGTAAAAATTCAGCACATAATAGAAGTGACGTCCAGTGTTATTGGAAGCACTATTCTGATAATAAGAATCTGAATTTTGACTTCTCAACACCAAAAGTTTTTTTTAACGGATTTCGCGACTTCCAGAAGTTTCACTTCATTTAGGGATATGTGTTTGTGATGCTTTTAGTTGCACATTTTAGTTTCATTTTCTTTATTTCGATTTTTCAAACTTTTAATCGCTTTTTTCATAGGACTCCTAAAATAAATAGTATTTCAGTAAACTACCACTGTCCACTGAAAAAAGTTTCAAACATAAATACAGCTGAAGCTAATAAAAGCGTATTAAAAAGTCTTTAAGTTTTCGCTTGTAATCATAATCATAAAGTATTATCTAAAATTATGCTTGCTTGAATCGATTTTATGGTGAGTTTGTATCGATGTTATTTCATACTTTTACAAACAAAATAGTATAAGTTATCAATTATTGTTTATTCTTGATTTATCTGAAAGCTTAGTATATTATATTATGTTATATTATGTCACACCATTGAAAAATTGTTAAAATCTTGTTTCATACATATTTATGTAATCATACTAATCCAGTATTTATATATCTCATTTAGCAAAAACAGAAAAAACAATCATCAAAAAAACTAAATATCAGGGGATCTAAACATGTAGAGGTGATCTCCGGTCGAAACGTTGAGAACGACGACTGTGAACTAACAAACATGCATCTGCATCAGTTGGGAGCTCTTGTTTCAGCTGGATATGAGGTGTCAGCCTTAGTTAGTGAAAATATATTAATCACCAGCAGCAATGAAAAAAACGAGCAGATAACATTGGCTTTCAACCCCAACTGTGACATTATTGATGAGTTCAATTCACAAAAACACCGATCTAATATCAATATAGGCGACGATGTTGCTAAAAACGATAAGTTTATAGATTCAATCATTGATAATAATAAACGAATAGTTCGATTGAATCAAGCCACGCTCTCTCCAAGTGAACAACAGAAGCAGCAGCTGGATCAAGTCAAACTAGTTAACCAATGTTCATATAGATCGTCAAGTGAAAACCGTAGTTCTGGCAAAGATGAAAATAAGTAAGTTTGGTTAATTTTACTCCATCAGCAATAAAATCTACTTATGCTCAATCCATTGCTTCAGATTTTTTTTTTTTGTAGTTACCACTCTTACAAATCTATAAATCACAGCAATTTTCAACATCTGCAACCACATATCTTACAAAGCCTAATTGCTTACGGACTACATATGGACCCTTGTACCTAGGAATTCATTTTATATTTTCCCTACAGTAATATCTACATTCTTTATTACTACCAAGCCTCCTACCTCGAACTCTTTAGGTGGCCTATGGTTTCGTTCGAAATTCCTCTGATTGTCCAACTGAGATTTTATAATGGCAACATCAGCTTTATTCCTTAAATCTTCAAGATTTTCGATAGGTTTAGCATAAACGTCATGAAGGTATTCAGTTAACTCATCAACTTGCTCTCCCCTTTGCTCAGCACCAAACAGCAACGGACCCGGAGTTTGTTTAGTGGCCCAGTGTACAGTATTGTTTATAGCGAACTCTACCGCAGTTAGCTTTTTCTTCCAATCGGCAATATTTATTCGCTCAGTAACTATTGCCAAAATGTCCTTTAAACACGATTTACACGCTACCTGGCCGTTAGACTGCATTCAAAATGTGGTTAACATTGCATTCCTTACAAAAATCTTCAAATTCATTGAAAGTAAAAGCTGTTCCCCGGTCACTTATGAACCTTCGAAGACGACTGTAATCTACAAAGTACTTCTTAAGCACACATATAGTTTCTTTTAAGCTATTATTCACCAGCTTCACAAATTTAGTAAACACGTCCACTATTACAAGAACACGTTTATGTTATTATACATATATTATATAAAATATTAGTGCTTTTGGATTTGATTTGCGCACTTATTAACTTCTTGGTAGCCATAGTTTTCGTGTACCGTTCTCATAACACTTTCTTGCATTTCTGCCGGCAAATACAATTGTTGATACTGTCCACTTATGCGAAACACCAGACCATGGTTCCCTGAGCCAATAACTCATCGATTGTTCTTTGAATTTCAAACTTCTCCATAAACGAGAGTCTTCTCGCACTACTGTACACTGGATTTAGTCTTCAATTTAATATGCATTGAGTAACCATTAACCTCCGACCCATTAGTGTCTGGACACTTTTCGTTTAATTGTGCATATATTATGTACAGTGCTAGCAGACTGGCAACTAGCTAGTGGGCTTCTATATACAAAATCAAGAAAGCGAAGTGCACGGACAAATTTTTCCGAAACACGAAACTTATTTTAAGCTCTTATGTTAAATAACTCCTTTGGCTTAAAACTAATTGTCTTTGTTTGGCACAATGCTATTTGCATTTTGTTTAAAAGGTCACGCCCAACCAGCACTGGTAAAATCTCATCTGAATCTGGCAAAATAGCATTATTGTGGAGCAATTCTTGCTGAAAAAATATAAATTTACATGTGAAAATGCCATAAATTCTTAATTGCTTATTACCGATTCCACGATATTGTGTCAACTTTTGTTCCCTGTTGGGGTTTACTGATTATGACACGTAAGACCGTTTTATGAAACTAATGGCACCGCCAGTATCAAATTAAGCAAAAAGAGGAATTATTTCAGTGCACTTTTCTTTATTGAGGAAGGCAACACTCACCAAATTATTTGAAGAAAATCGTTCTGCCAGTTGACGGACTTCAGGATTTGCATCATCTCCTACAGCGGCTGCAATATAACGGTTGTTTCTTGTAGCGTAACGAGGACAGTTTTGGCGTGTGTGGCCGATTTCAGAGCACATGAAGCATGAATTTGGTGGACGTCTGGGATCCGTACAAGCATTCGGATAGTGGCCATGTTGAAAGCAACTAAAACAATATCCACTTTTCCACTTAAAGCTGGTTTGGCCTTTGTCGGGATGGTCGCTGGGACTGTGAAAATTTTCCGCTTCTTTTCATAGAGCTCCATAAGAGTCTTCAAATCTCTGATTGAATTGGCGCCATATAACATCGTACCATAAGAAAATTTGTCATTTAAACAATCAATGATTATATCATCCAAATCAGCTTCAAGTACTTTAACTCGGCTAGCAATATATTGCATTTCGACAATGTATTATCGCGGTGTTTCTGCTGGTTTAATGCGACGTGATTTAAACTTATTGAAAATACGAACACATTGCAGCAGCATCAATGAATATTTTAGCGTGGCAAATTTGTAAATGACGAGCAGCAATTAACTTGTATCTGTCACTGCAACGACAAACATCAAACATCGCATTCATTCGTGACATCTTGAAACTCAGAACCGTCAAATTTATTCATCAGTGCATCAAGTTCAGCTATATCAATTCTACGACTGTCAGCTGGGTTAAGATCCCGTTATAGCTCGTTTTTACGAGTTCTTCATGAGCCTTCAGGTCATCAACTAAAGTAACACGAGCCAGCAAACCCTGCCGGTATCCCCATCTGGCACGCTCTCACCTGGCACGTTCTCAATCAAAATCAATACCCGCTGCTGCTAAAGTATTGATAATTTGCTGTCGTGTAATCATATTTGCCATCGCGACTCAAACTTTTTAAAAATTTTTAATGATCCGTTTTTTGGGCATTTGGATTACCTTTATTTTTTTCAATAGTCGCCTTCGTTTTCTAAGCCTTGCGAATACAATTCAAGAAAAAACCGAAGCCCCCCTTTAATGACTGCTGTCAAAACAACGTGGTGCTGCCAAATTCAAAATAGCTTAGAATACCTTAAAAAACTTATTACACTTCAGAGTTATATCTAGTGAGCGATAAATTAAAATCATCTTATAACTATTAACTAAAAGCACAAAGATTTTACTAACATATAAATGTTTACTTTTCTATCTGAAAGTATTCCATATCATGTTATCGTATTGTAACGGATTTCTCGATAAATCGTCTAACTATAACTCACTCTTGAGCTCTATCACTGGATTGTTAAATTAAAGTCCCAATTTAATGCTGTACACTTATCTTTATTTCCAATTCCAACGACTTAACACTTATTGCTCGCTATTCGAACTTATAACTTATAGCTTAATTGCTCTGTACACGGCAACACTCTAATTAGAACTGTGTCTGCTGCACAATCCGGCAGCCCTTATATAGTAAATTTTTAACAAAAATTCGCTACTAGAACATTCTGGCAACTACGAATTCGCTGTCTAGTTGCTTCTGACAGTTTATCGTTAATTCTGATTTGTTCTGATACTCGTATTCATCACAGTATTATAAGAGTTAACTATTATTATTCTGTGTGCAATAAAAAACTGTTATCAAATAACTGTATCAACGGTATCAACATCAGCAAGAGTTGGGGACTGAGATATGATTATTGGTAGGAATAATCTAACGACAAAAGGGGGGACAACTATTGATGCAGTTTTCGGTAGAAAAATTAAACATTTTATATTTCATTTTAGCTATCATAATCCACTAGTAAATACAGTTATTTGATAACAGTTACTTTGTAAACGAAAAACACGGTGCGAGGAGTCCCTCCGCGCCTAAAAGTGAAATTTCATGATGGCAAATTGGAAACATGAAAGGATTGAAATCAATATAACACAATACAAGTTTTTTTTTTTGACCAAACATTTTTTTCAATTTAATTCTCACTTTTAGCGGGCGCTGTATTTATTGTTATCAAATAACTGTTACTTTGTAAACGAAAAACACGGTGCGAGGAGTCCCTCCGCGCCTAAAAGTGAAATTTCATGATGGCAAATTGGAAACATGAAAGGATTGAAATCAATATAACATAATATTTTTGGCAAATACAAATTTTTTTTTTGACAAAAATTTGTTTTCAATTTAATTCTCACTTTCAGTGATAAATGAGATATGAAATGTTTAATTTTTCTACCGAAAACTGCATCAATAGTGGTCCCTCCTTTTGTCGTTGGATTATTCCTACCAATAATCATATCTCAGTCCCCAACTCTTGCTGATGTTGATACCGTGACCCAGCCACACTTGAGTAATGAGCTTTTATTAGCAAATGAGGTGTAACAACGTAATATCTGTCTTTTTCATTTCGGTAGATGACAACACCTGAATTTCGAATTTCATTACATTGAAATCTCACAACAAATTAAAAATTTGGTACTTGTACAGTAGGTTCTTCATCGCTCATAAAGCTATCTGATAACATCAAAGTATTCGTCGGAAGACTGAATCGGTAAAATCATTGATGTGCACGGAGACTTTGGCAATTATATACTATCATCGAAATGTCTTTTTTCGAGTTAATAAAGTCGAATAATTGGTTATCTAATGTGCAAATAGGATTTGCCGCAATTTGATATTCTTATTTCGCAAAGGGCTTTGCTTTTGAAACGTTACTTTTCCAGAAATCAACATTTGAAGAAGGCTCAGAACTTGTAGACAGATTACTAGTTACCGTATTTGATAACTCTTTTTCCATTTCTGCTCGCTTTCGTGCTCTGTAATCACAATAAGATTGAGCTGTTTTCTTGATTTTATCGAACCAGTGGAAATACGCGAAGTAGCGATCCTCACGCTTCTTCATGTCTCCCTATAAAATTGGTTTAAAATTATTGTTATAATTGTGGAGAATAAAAATAAGTTTTCCGCGAAATTGTAAATTTAAACACCTAACAAACAATCCCCAAATCAACAGTAACGTACTTTCAGAAAACCTCGACTCCACTGTGTGTCCTGCAGCCTCCTCATTTTAATTATATTCAACGAAAGATGCACTACACGGCAAATGTCGTCCTGAAGCCATCTTTTTAAACATTTTGAAAACGGCAGCGGCATATCAAACAGCTGATGTACACAATTTTGTTTTTGCCGTCCTAAACCTTTCACCTCAATAAAATTTAAATATTATGTTCAAAGTAAAATTTGTTGTGCAAAAATAAGTAAATATCCTACCGTACGGTCTATTGAAGCGGATGTAAAAGCGGTGATGAGTGTTCATTGACATTGCGCTCTCATAAGAAAGGTCGTATCAGCTGATTCGGTCGACGGTTTTGCATCGGTGACTGTTTGTGCCATTACCACTGCGCGTTACACGTCTAACGCAACCTTTCCCGAATCCCCATTAGAAGTTTCGCTTCAAAAAATATAACTTTTATTTTGTGAGGAAAATATACAAATTTAAAAATAATCATATTTGATATTTGATCATTTCCTCATAAATGTTACGGTGCCTGGTTTATAGAAAATAAAACTTAGAGCTTTTTAAACCGATTTGTGACGCTGAAAAAAGAATCTCTCCATCCTTGCAACGCAAGTGCTGCCCGTCGTAGGAACATGTGGTATAGTTTGTACGATTCACTACTCTCTAACGCTTGCCGCATCGAATACAGATATTTATTACATCAACGTAGCAATCTAAGGTTTGGGAGCGTTAAAATGTTTCAATTCAAGAAGTAAGTTAAATGATAAAATGTTTAACAATTCTGGGATTGTATAGCCAGAAAGTCTAATAAATGGGTACATTGCAGTTTAGTTATTGTATGACCATTAGTTTTAAACTATATATTATTAAAATGTATGTAAATATTAATAAAAATTTATTATTAAATCTTTACAGCCTACTCGACTCTATGGATGTTTGGTTTGGACATTATCAACGAAATAAGCTGTAAGGCTTATATATTTTGACTCTCGTAACAGGTTGCTACAGAGTATAATGGCCGATTCACATACAACTTTCCTCGCTTGGCTTGACAATTCATATTTTAACAACAAAGCGAAAAAGAAAAGCATATGTCAGAATGAACACTTCACTTGTCGTGCTACTCGTTAAAAAAATGGCGACGTTTGCTTGGAAAAGCATAAAAAGATGAGAGTTCTCCAACATTGTACTTCACTTTGTTGTTACAAAAGCATACATCGAACTTCTCTGTCAAAGCAAAGCCAAGAAAAAGTTCTATGTGAATTAGCCATAATAGTTTCGTTCACCTAACGGTTAATTGTGACACCTAAAACTATTCCATATATATATATATATATATGTATATATGTACTATATATTATTAAAATTATATATTATTAAAATATATACCTTATAGGACCCCGTCCACGCGTTGCTGTGGCTAAGATATACATTAATTGTAAACTATGCAATACAGCAAAATTGTATTTATGAATAAAAACGAAAACCTTATCTCCGGTGTAAGCACAACCTCGCGGATCTCTTTTAGATTTGAAAATGATTATTACTCATTTTCTTCGATTTGTTATTAAGCACAAATAAACATATAATAAAATATGTTGATTTCTTTAATTTTGTTAATTTTATATTCAAATTTGAAACAAATGAGTAATTTTCAAAGATGTTAGTTGTTGAAAGAAGTTAGTTGATGAAAGAGAATAGATCATTCTTAATTTTTAAGAATATTATATTTATATAGTTTTAAATTATAAAAATGTTTAATTCAATTTAATTCAGCTCTATTGGAATCGTACATTCTGACAGTATCATTGGAAACGTGGCAAGAGGACCATTTCTCCATTAAATTTTTTAGTCAAAATGGTTGCTACAATAACGTTTCCTGTAATCTTTTTGATTACCAAACGTCTACCAAAGCATAAGGGAGGTGAATTGGAATTACTCTGAATAATTTTCAATCAAAGATTTTTTAATGTCATTTCGAGTATATCTAGATAATTTACGTTTTCATTTTCATTAACAACAGTAGCGAATCATTAAAATAGACGATATCTCGCCACCAATTTTCAGCCAAATCGGTTAAACCGTTCTTGAGTTATAAATATTAGTTACAATACTCAATACAAATACGACTCTATTTTATATACATATGTAAGATTAGGAATCGTTTGCTGTTTTTAAGCTTTTTCAGACAATTTTTTTCTCTGCGTAAGAACCATCTTCGTACTTCAAGCAATATTCTAAAAAAAGAATTAGCGAAATTGGGTCATCGGTTTTCGAGATTTGCGCTTAGCAACACATTCAGTGATTCAGTTTTATATTATAGATATTACATTCGGACATTCGATGCTATGACTATGATATACAATAAATATGGTACTTTTACACATACAATAAACAATTTAATATAGTGAAAATTTTATTTACGAATAAAAGCGAACACGAAATTGCCGGTATAAGAAACCAAGACATTGTACTTTTGGTTGATAATAGAAAATGATTCATACAAATATTTGTCAATGGAAATTTACTGAAAATTTTATTTAATAATTTTTTTTTTTTGTGAAAACATGCTTATGTTTGCAATTTTTTTTATGATTTTAGCAATTTGAGATTTTAACTATCCTACCATTTATGTTGGATTAACTTGGACACCCTGCTAAATTTTACTAAAATCGGTTCAGTAGTATAGGAGACAACCGCGGACAAAACGTGACATGTAATTTTTATATACATATATAGATATATGATTGGAATGACGAGGAACGGTACGAGTTGGAAGAAGTTGAACTCCGGTTGATTGTCTGTCCGTTCGTCCGTCTGTGCGATAACTTGTGTAAGACTTCAGATATCGCGATACATGTCTTCCTGGTATTGCAGATTTGAGGATGCTATAACTAAGCTACAAATTAAAATCTGTAATTTTGTATGGGTCCTGGAAGTATGCCCCTCCATGTGGTTTGAAAATTTTTCAAAAGTGGACTTGGTCCAGGTCTGTAAAATCTTAGAAGTATATATCTCACAAACCACTTAAATCAAATCGACCAAACTTGCTCAGGACAAGTTCTTCCAGCATTTCCTCATATTGTCCGAGGAATTTAAATTTAACCTCTTAAGTCATAAAGTACAAAAGTATGTCTATGGGTGTACAATAATATGCTTCGTTTCAGCAATGTTTTTATTCCGTTTGGGGGTTTGTGGAGTTTCTTTTTTCCTTATACAGTTATCGCACTTTTAGTAGCATTGACCATTAAATTTGTATACGGTGTGGGCGTGATTATTTATACGACTTCGTCCATTTTCATACGTAATAGTTAATCTCATTTTCCAGATCAACTGAGGCGCAATCTCTTGGGGAATCTACAGTTCAGACTACTGTAAAACCTTTACACATTTGCTTTGACGTGCTGACTTCCAACACAAATGATGTAAGTATTAATACAAATAAATGTTAATATATGTATATACAGCCTTTTCCTCCGTTACGTGTGGTTTTCAATGACAGCTTTTATTTGATTTATACGTTTGCACGTATGCAAATAGTGCGAATTTGCCAAAATCATGGTTCAGCAAAAGAAACAACCAGTTTACTAAAGGAAATTTTTGATGAGCGCATTATCTCGAGTCGTGGGACTGTGGTGGGACTATTTTTGTGGGATTATGTGAAGCCACTTGTCTACGCATATAAGCCTGAGACGATTGACGCCTTGGAATAGAATATTCGGAGCGTTAATGCTGACATACGGTCTCAATTGCTGTAAAAAGTGGTAGAAGATTAGGCCTCTCGGCTGCAATTTTATTAATTTTTATGGCAAACCTTTATCTTTATAACTAAGCTTAATTCTTGGCCATTACTTTTCTTTTTCTTCACGAAACAAAATGTCTAAAAAAACACCTTTTATTAAATTTCACAGTAAAAATAGCACGGATAGGATGATATTATTCTGCCCATATTAAATTTCAATTCCACATCTCAGCAACAACCAATTTCATCCAAATTTGATAATATTATTCTCACATGTCACAGTGTGCAAATCGATCGGCGATTTCGGACTTCAGTATCCCCCGCTTAATTGAGCCCTGGTTAATTGATTTTCCCGATTGTTTGAACCACCTAAACGGTCAAAAATATAATGTATACAAAATACGTGTAAATTTTACTGCATAATTGAACCCGGTTAGTAGGACAATGCACAAAAAAAATTACAGACTTCTTTAATTAACATTTTAAAAATGTAATAATGCGAGTGCTGTATATATATATAATGATATTAATTGTTTTTGTCCCTTAAGTATATTTTTTTTTATAACAATGGTCTCTAAATATATAAGTTGCATTGTCTTGTTTTTGTTCATCATATTTTTTACGTTAAAAGTTCAAAATTTTATTTAAATATCATTACTAAAAACTAAGTAAATACTTAAAGTACACATTTGAATTTTTTAATTGATTAAGTTATAAGCGGGATTCCGGCAATTGAACGAATTGTTCAATTAAACAAGTATCGGTTAATTGATTCTCCGGATAATTTAACTTCAAAAATTGCACAATACTATATAACCATGACAAAAAAGAAGAAAATCGATTTAATTTATGGATCTAAGCCCCATGTTAGTTAAGGGTGCTAAGTTTCTAATAATAATTTATTAAATAAAACCCTATTTTTTTTTTGTTAATAGGATGCGAACACGATGGCAGAACGAGATGTCGGCTCTACATTTCTGTTGCCGCATACACACCTTTATGAACCTGACAAGGTAAGCTGTTATTTTTTTTTATCTTTTTTCAATATATTAAATTGTTTGCAAGATCTAAGCCACAGTTAAATTTTAAATTAGAAACAATTTAGGCTTAACCTTTGTGTTTAAATTAAAAGCCAAACATAGGAGGAGGTGTCTCTTTCATCTACTTCAAATCGAAGTCTTTCTTATACTAGATTCCAAACAGCAATTCATGACAACATCCGATACATATTATTTTCTTTTCTAGCAAGGAAGTGATATATCTGGTTTCGATTCATTCTAACATATAGCGGAACTGTTGTGAAAATTAACAGATGGTCTAAAACTCATTTAAGGATTTTGGTTTGTATGTATATGCATGTATAAATATATAATATTTACTTATTTATGTATATATTAGCTTATTTGTATCTTTTTGTAATTGATATATAAGTTACAGTCATGCAGGGACTTGTTGCATGCTTCACTGTAATATTTAGTACTTCTGACGTATTTCTTACATGAATTATCGCACTTTTAGCTGTTTTCAACATAACCGTTATACATGGGGTGGGCGTGGTTATCACTGTGTGAGGAGGTCCTAATAGGACTTGTTCCGAAGAAGATTGGGATATAGCTTTGTGGTTTGTGATATATCTGCTTTACAGTTATTAAAGAAGGGAACCACGCCCACGTTTAAAAACTTTTAAACCTTGACGCCCTTCTCTACATCGATGTATTGAGCATTCCAAGCATTTTATAAGTTTTCGTCTAACGGAATTTCGACGTCTGTTGCTCCCACTGCAGACCTTTTGCTTCCATTGCACCACACAATGCAGCCTCCTCCATGCTGATAGTCTTATTCATTTTTTTATCTTTTAGCACTTAACCCTCCTTACGCTATACAAATATACGACCATCAGATTCAAAAAAATTAAATTTGTACTCATCGGTTAAAATTACAGAATCGCCAAATTCGTTATCACGGTGGATATACTCTTTAAAATATAGTAAACGTTCCGCAATATTTCTCTTTGATAATTGTGGCTTCTTTCGTGGCGTATATGCTCTAAAATCGGGTAAAAGCAAGAATTTCCTAACAGTTTGAGGGTTGAGTTTTGCAATACCCCAACTCCTTAGCGTTAGCAACAGCGTATATTTGGGGGGCTTCCTTGATACTCCGAGCAACTTTACTTTCAGCCTGGAGACATTTTTTTGAACGTTCCACTACCATCAAATTTTCCAACTCCACCAGTCTTTTAGAATTTAGCAGTAATATACTGAACAATAGTGTGTGTTTTTTGAAAATATTGCCTATTTTGCTAGTACTTTTGTTCTATTGCCAATATTTGACTACCAGCGCCTGTACGTCTTGAAATGTTTGTTTATAACGAAATATAACGTATTAAAATTTTTTCATTTCAGATTTGTTCGGTACAGTTCGGTATTGGAATAACAACTGATCTGCTCATTAGCGAGTTGCTTACAGACTTGTTATGAATTTCTTGTCGGAAATAAGTTATAATTATGCAATTATTGTAGTTGCTATTGCAAAGTGTAATAAGCCCTCATGTGTTGTGTCCATATGCGATTTGGCACGTGTACCTATATCTCCTTAGTTCAATACAACAATATTTATTTATTTTCAACTTTAAGAATATAACAATTATTTAATAGTTAACTATTCCCTGAATAGAGTACATTAAGTTTGCCACGAAATATAAATATTAGCGGGATAATTTAGCCATGTCCGTCTGTATATACGCGGACTAGTCCCTCAGTTTCTAAGGTATCGATCTAAAATTTTGCACACGTCCTTTTCTCTCCAATTAGTTGCAAATTTGTTAGAACCGCCGATGTCGCACGACTATAGCATATATTGCAATACATAGCTGCCATACAAACCGATCGATCAAAATCAAGTTCATGTATGCAGAAGTTTTTTATTTGACTACAAGTAGATATCTTCACAAAATTCGGCGCGGATTATTGCACAAAATTGTTCAGATCGGAGCACTATAGCTTATAGCTGCCATATAAACTGAACGGTCAAAATCAAGTACTTTTATAGAATACTTTTTTTTTGTGAAGGGTATTATAGCTTCCGTTCAGCCGAAGGACGTTTTTCTTATTTTTTAAATGATTTAAACCATTTTGCAATACATTGTTGAGAGTGAGCAACTGACCGACACGTGCGACCGAAAAAAATGCTGCAACCAGTGGTGTCTAGAGCAACGACCGGCGTTAACAAATATGTTTTAATTCAATTAAATTTCAATTTGATGATGCCAGCTGATATATATGCAATTTTTGCTGATGAGCTGGATGAGCAGCAGCTATACCAACTTCCCCGTAGGGGCAACTTTCGTCGTTGGTTTCCCTCTGGGTTGTCCAATATACCAAGAAAAATAGTAACTAGCTGTCAGTATTAATTGGCATAGCGCACCAAATTGGTTGACAAGCACAAAATTGTTTTACTATACTACCAATTTGTCACCAAAAGAATTATTTATGAGAATAAAATTATAAAAATCCATTAGCTTTACTGCCGTACTTAGTTGCCAAGACGAATGATGATTTCAAATTTACAAATAACAATAATATGTATGTATGTATGTATTGTTTATGCCATTTACAATGCTTGATCAGCCAGTAATCGAATTATGAGGCCACAATTCACACATCTCGAATTATATACTCAAAGCAAACCGCATAACATAGTAGCTTTTGCGAACATTAATCGGCCATTATACGAATGTGTTTATATCGCTATTTGTGTGGCTGTTGCTATAATTTATTTGCATAGACGCATTTTTAATTATTTTTTGTAAGCCTTATTTACGAGATTTGACCCTTCTAGTTCCGGGAGCCGATATATCGGCTCCACCTGTACTGACGAAAAGTTCACAGTTTTACAAGCAAAACACAAGAAAAAACATCATCCACAAAGAGTTCAAACCAAAAAAATATTTTTTTTAAAATTATCTTGTAATGAAGTTATATCATTTATAACGCATTACAAATTTATTTTGAGATAGAGTTCTCCCATAAATGTAGTAAACCGTTACAAGGCGCGAGCCGATATATCGGCTCTTGCACTTTTCGCCAGTACAGCTGGAGCCGATATATCGGCTCGCGCCTTGTAACGGTTTACTACATTATGGCTCTCGGCACTAAAAGGGATAAATCTCGTAAATAAGGCTTACAAAAAATAAATAAAAATGCTATGCGAATAAATTATAGCAACAGCCACACAAGCGGCATTTCGGTGAAAGCTTCGCATAATAACTTTGTTGAAGATTAGAGGCGTTATGGATCGATTTCATCTACATTTAGTATTAACCTAAAGTACGCTCAAGAAAATGTTTGCTAACATATTTTATTAAGACAACCCACGCAATTTATTTTTGTTATATTGAATATTTATATGGATCGGTTTAATTTATTTTCACTTTTAACTATAGTATCTCCAATTATACGCTACTTAATTTTGCTAAATATCTCAAAAATTGACCGATATATGAGGTATATGGTCAAAGCAGCCGGAGGGATGGAATCATTATATTAGATATATTGTCGCTAGAGGAAGTACCGACACGATTTTTTCCATTTTTGCGCAAGACTACGTCCATCAAGAAAAAGTGCTCACTCAATTTAATTAAAACATCTCACAAATTGGCCGATTTTTTCGATATAAAGTCAGCTATGCGCACGGATGATGAGAGTTGTTAGCTATTAGATACACTACTTGCATATAGTTTTCTTCTTATATTAATTCGTACTTGATTATATTGTAACGTGAAAGTATCGGATGGAATTTAAATGGTGTCATATGGGATGTTGGCGTGGTTTTAGTCGGATTTAGACTATTTTTAAAATAAAGGTCTTAAGTGAATGTTATTAAATTTGGTTATGAGACTTCACCTAAAATTGAATGGCACCACCGGTTTAACCCAATTTTGGATTCGATCCTCATGCAAGCATACTATGCTATCCTTACTATTAAACTTATATTATTTTGGGCTGTAATTCGATATCACCCATTTTTCGCTTTATTATATAATGTAAAAAAAAAAACAATTTTACTAAGTTCATTTGATATAGATTCAGTAGTTTTTGATTTTTGGCATCATATTAAAATTTAAAAAAACAGTCCACCGCACGTTTCGTTTAGTTAAAATATTTTGCTTAATATGCGAAATATCAAAACTACTTATACTTATACTTATAATAGATATTTTCAATATTGGTGATGGGAAAATATTCAGATTCAAATTGGCGTTATATGTGATCGGGTCCGAGGGCAGAGACCCTGGCAACAAAATATTTTGTTATAAAAAACTAAAACGTATTGGAGCTTTCACTGTATTTACTTCAAGTCGCCATTTTAAAAAAATTTACATGGCTTTGTTGGAGAATATATGATACATAACTATATGAATACTTAATATATATTAATATAAGTAAAAAAATGGGAAAAAACGAGTGAAACACTTCGTGCCAATGGTTACTTTTATCATTTTAATGTTAAATGTTATATCTTGTACTATACATCATTTTTTATTATAATATACATATACATAATACATCGTACATAAATCAATTGTATAAATTTGATTAGATATTTATGTTTGATTAATGGAAAAGTGAAATTATTATACGCCATGCATCAATAATATAATATACATATAAATAATGTGTTTTTGTCATAATTAACTACAATGTAATAAACAAAATTCAAAGTAACTCCAATTTATCAAATTTAATTGTTTTACGTATTCAAGTTTACAACATAAAAGTTCCTTATATAAACTAAAATGTCAGAAACGTCAAATACTATCAAAATCATTTCTCAATTTTTTTCCTTAAAAAATGGCATGATTGGATGAATTTATTGCAATACATAGGTAATTTTAACAATTGCCCAGGGCGGCATTTTAAGTAAATCGGCTCTGAGGACTAAACTACTGCTATTGATGCCAAAACAATTATAAAAGATGAAAACTGTGTATCATCAACAAGCTTATTATGTGAGACAGACAGGAGGCCGTCTTCTCTGTTCCCTACTCTTTACTTACAGCTGGGTGAGAGGTAACACCTGTATATGCCTGGCGGAAATAACATATCGGTTAATAAATAATCAGAATCAATTATTTATAGCAGAAAATTTCAACTTTACAGTTGTAGTCATGGATAAAATGATCCGAAACTCTTTGATTTAAGAGAAAGTCCACAATAAGTTTTGAAATTTTTTAATGTATTTTTTGGGTATTTTTTGGTTTCCATTTTACAGAAAAATATACATAATTAAAATTAGTTTAATAAGCTAGATATCCTATATGACGTCTAAATATATGTACATGTATATTTTAATCACAAAAGATTTTCAAAATTAACTTTTAAAACTAAATTTAACAAAATATTTTAATATTTCAAAACACTTACAAGTTTTAAATAACCTCAACATAAACCTTATTTCTTTTTTATACACTCTCTTGGGTCACCGATTGAGAACCACTGCATTATACGGTCATATGTTCTGTACATTTTTGCTATATCTTGTTCTCTACTTATTTGCCTAATATTCAAGGGCAAGCACTAGAAGTCATTCACCTCAATGCAGTTAATAATTGTATTTGCATTGTGTACATACTTACATATTTATTGCTTGCTTGCGCTTGCTTTGAACACTTATGCTACCGCTATGTTTTCGTCCACGCAATTACATGAATATTTGTTTGTGCATATTAGCAAGTCCCATTTAACATGCACTAAGCTTAATATGTAAGCAGCCTCTTGCAATGCTGCGTTCCCATTTTTTTATATTTCTCTTTTTGTTAATAACTACATTATATACGAATATATATAACTTACATACTTATGTATATATGCACTAATAGAAAACGAAACTATGTACTTAGCGGAAATTATGAATTGAACGGTATTGCAATATTGCTTAGAATATTATTTAAGGAGAAGAATTTTGCGAATAAAGTTAGTCTAATAGCTGACCACACATAGCATCATTACCCGGCCCTTTGTATTTTATCGCTGTTACAACTTCGTTTAAACTTTTCGCTTTTTCGATATTTGCGCGGTTACAAAAACAGTTTTGTAGCCCTACACACTCTATAAATAAATATCTTTTGATAATTTATACGGAAACCCAAGTTTACATAACATTTGCTGGGGATCCTAACCAAAATATGTATATACGTTGACAATTGGTACTGCTAAACAAAACAATACTCTGCGACAAAATACGCTCCTTCTCAAAAACAAAACTATATTAAATATCTTTAAATAAAGATTACTAATATACGTAAAAGTCAACAAAAAATCTGATCTCACAAATTACCCACTGATCTCGCAATTTATTTCTGCGGGATTCTTAGTGGTAGTTCATTGTTTTGCTTGTCATCTGTTCAGTAGCTCATGAACTCGTGGTTTTCTTTGGCAGCACTGAAAGTTCATGAGCTCTCTCAGAAGGCAAAGAGAGAAGTTTCGGATCATTTTATCTATGTTTGTAGTATACACTGGACGGAAAAAGTGATCAACTTTATAGGTGTAATATACAAGTATGTATGTATACTGGACCAAAATATATTATAACAATCACTTCCTGTTTTAGCTAGGTTAAATAAAATAT